GCCCTTTATACAGTCAGATAACTGCTGATATGCAAACATAAAAATGTATATACCCAGGGAAACCATACTTAAACCGATAAAGGTAGCATTGACAACTTCAGACTGAACTGTATTCTAGAAATATATCATGGTGCCTAAAGTAATTGCTTTCCTATGACTGATTACTCAAGATTTTTTTAAGCTTATATGTAAATATATCCCTTTGCTTCTACCAGTAATGATACCATTTTCAGTAATGTTTCATCTCTCTGGAAGTAATTCTAGCATCAATTCACATTCACATGAAAGTTCTTGCTTTTTAAAAGATAGTGATGTAAAGCAGAGGTGAAATACTCGGGGCCTATATCTGCAAGAACCAGCAAAACTTCTGCCTGAACCAGGTTAAAAGGTAAGGGAAATAATAATAAAATAATTATAATAGCTAAGACTTATATAACACTTACCATATGTCAGGTACTGTGCTAAGCACTTTACACTTATTACTTCATTTGATCCACACAACAAGCCTGGGAGGTAGGTGCTATTATTATCTCCACTTTACAGATGAGGAAACTGAGGCTAAGTCACACAGCTACTGAGTTTGTCTAAGTATGGATTTTAATTCATCTCCCTGAATCTAGGCCTGGCACTTAATAATGTTTAAATGTTTAACAAAATAACCAAAAAAAAAAACCCCAACATAGATAACATTAACTTGTGTTTTTCTAAGTCAATACGCTGCCCCTCGGGATAAATTTCTGTTTGAGTTTGACATCACTGATGCAAAGAATCTTTTTTTCCTAAAACCAACTCTTCCTGATGTATAGCTTCGTTATGGCTTTTTTAAGTTTTTAACGTATGTATTTCATTTCAAGGTTCCTACTAGCCCTCACCCTCATGCTACACAGATACACATGCTTGCTCTAAATGGACAGTAATTAGCAAAATAGAAGATTGCGCTGCTTAATTTCTTAGAACAAATCTATCCTATGTTCTGGGATAGCTGCTAGAATGGGGCAAGCCAACCTTCAAAGCAAATCAGTATGGAAAAGACAATGCTACGAAGGTATAATGATGATAAATTCCATTTAGGGAGTACTTCAAGGCTTACAAAAGCACTTTCCTCCTAACTCTGTGAGGTAGTACAATTATTATTATTATTTCTATTTTATTTTTACTGAAGCTCTGAGATTTGTGTACTTTCCAACAATGATAATAGCAAACATTTATATAGCCCTTACTACGTTCTAGGCACTTTATAATTATTAATTCATTTGAGCCTCACAACAACCCTAGAAGGTAGGTGCCATTATTATCCCCATTTTACAGATGGGAAAACTGAGGCAAAGAGAGGTTAAGTGACTTGCCCAGGGTAACACAGCTAGTAAGTGTCTGAGGTTGAACTTGAACTCAGGTCTTCCAGACTTCAGGACCATGTTTATCCACTTAGCTACCTGCTAGGCCAACCATGAACCCTGAGGAAAGGCTGCTGGGGCAAGGCCAGGAAACTTCCTTCAGCCACATAATATCAGAGCTGATATTCAACCCCGGTGTCTTGACTCGAAGTCAAATGTACTTTCCAATACATCATGCTACTGCTTATAGTGACATAACATAATGGCAAATTTTGATGAGCAAAGTAAATTATATAATCAGACAGCAGAAAATCTCAGTATCACTTCAAAGAAAATTCATACTCGGAGAAATGGGGAATGCAGAGCATGATAGAGAGAACTCATAACTTATACTTATTGCATGAATTCCACTTTTAGAGGTCCTTAAAGGAATATTGAAGATCTTTAATAGAAACAATTAATGTGCTCAATCCATTATTCTTCCTTGGAAACAACCTTAGTTTTCAAAAGATGTTTTAAATCTTTCATTAAAAATATAACATAAGGACTTCCTGGAAGACAGCAGAGTACAGAGAAGTCAAGTGAGTTGGCTTTGTCCTTAACGATACTTAAAGATGTAAAATTGAGGCCCAGTTCCCTTACTGTTCCACAGAAAAGACAAGGAAAAAACCAGAGAAGTGGGGGGAAAACTTTTGGGAAAATAAAGGAAAAACTAAGCAAGTCCACAAAAGCTGCTCTTGAACATCCCTGCCCCACTGCCCTAGGGGGTGAGCTCACACTGACTCACCAACTTCAGAAGTTCCTCTAGCTCCCTGATCCCAAATCCCAGATGAGCATCTTCTGCCTTCCTTTACCAGGGGTGGGGAACCTGCTGCCTCAAGGCCACATGTAGCCTTCTAGGTCCTCAAGTGTGGCCCTTTAACTGAATCCAAACTTCACAGAACAAATCCCTTTAATAGAAGGATTTATTCTGTAAAACTTGGACTCAGTCAAAAGACAGCACCTGAGGACCTAAAAGGCTACATGTGGCCTCGAGGCAGCAGGTTCCCCAATCCTGCAGAAACCAACTCCAATGGCTTCCTACTGCCTCTAGAATAAAATTAAAACGCCTCTGTTTTGTTTTTAAAGCCTTCCACAAACTGACTCCAATCTACTTTTACAGGTTTATTGGATACTACTTCTCCCACACTCTGCAAAACAGTAAAATCGGCCTCTCCGTTGCTCACACCCAACATATGTCCCAGGTCTGTGCCTTTGGACCTACTGTCTCAGAGTCCCTCTCTTCCTTAAAGAGGCAGCTCAACCTTCTGCTCGAAGCCTTTTTTTGGTTCCCCCCACCCCAATTGCTAGTACCCTCCCTCCCAAACTACTTTGTATTTAACTGATATCTATCTACATCCTTTACATATATTTGTATTTATTAACTTCATATTTATGCTATATGTATATGTTCTTGTTACCTCTGAAATTAGAATGTAAGTTCAAGTAATGATCACTTCATTTTTTTGTACTTGCATCCCCAGCATTTAGCACAATGTTTAGCACATATAAATATTTGTTGATTGATACTCAGCTCCCTAATGTGTGGCAGGTACTGTGCTAGGTGCTGGAGATGTAAGTACAAAAGAATAAAAGAATCATTACTTTCATTCTAATGACATGACCAATACAACACAAATTTGTTTTGTTACATTTGGCAAAAAGAGGAGGGGGGGAAGGGTAAGGGAGTGATGAATGATTTTTAAAAAGAGCATTAATAAAATATGCACAAATATTTATTTAACAGAGAATAAAGTTCAAAAAGGAACTGAGTCAGGCTTGGCAATATTGGCACTACCCAAATAAATTTAATATAGATTTTTTAAAACTATGTGTAAGGTTCAAAGTTTCATATTTAATACTTTTTTGGCCTTTGTAGGTAGAAATGTTTGTTAATAGTTTTCTAGTTTATAATTTTTAAAAAGTATACAAGTATATAAGTTGAAAGAATATTCCTGCCTCATATAATTTTAAGTTATTTTCAAACCACTTAAAATGTAATTCTAAATCTGTCATTTTGGTGAAATTATTTTAATATTTTTATTTTAGGAAGCCTATTTTACTTGCTACAAAATTTCTCCCTATTTTAAGATTTAATAAACTGTGAAGCAGTTTATTAACTAGTTTTGTCCTGTTTTTTATAGTATTTTGTCATGACCATTATTTATCAAATGAATGAGGACAACATCCTCCTCCTGACCCAGGTTCATAACTTTGAAATCATCCTTAACTCATCTCTCTCCTTCTCTTTTTCTCTCCCTCTTCCTCTCCTCTTGTATGCAATTAGTTGCCAAGTCTCCTTGACTGTACTCCCAATTTCTGCTAGGTAGTTCAGCAGATAGAGAATTGGGCCTGAAGCCAAGGAGAAGGAGTTCAAATTCTGCCACAAATACTTTTTAACTGTGTGACCCTAGGCAAGTCATTTAACCTCTGCTTCCTCTTCTGTAAAATGGGGAGAATGAGAGCACCAACTTTCCAGAGTGCTGTGAAGCTCAAATGAGATAGCAGTTGTAAAGTGCACACAGTAAGCACTACACCTTAGTTATTATGATTACTTATCCTGTTTCCCCATTGCCTAACTGCACCTACCTTCCACGGATTGTTCTGGGGGTAAACATTGGCACTACCTCTTGCTATCTCTGACATCTTAAGTCTCTGCCCCGTAGTTCTGGCTTCATCCCTGCCCCCCCACCCCCACTCCGCTGCCCATGGACTGGCCTCCTAATGGGTCAGGTCTCTCCGCAGCCCATTGCCTTTAGGACAGAAACCTCCTAGGCCTCGGGCCTCCCCACCACCACCTTTCCAGGCCTATCGGATTCCATTCACCTTCGGTGCCCGCCTGGGAGAGGGCCCTCCCGGCCTGCGCCTCGGCCTTGGCACGAGGCTGCCCGGGCCCGGAGTCGCAGAGGCCTTCTCTTCCTTACCGGCTCAGCTCGGCCATCCCTCCCCCGGGAAGCCTGCTGTGACCACCCCTCCTCCACCCCCCCCCACTGGGGGGCACGTACATAAGTTCTTAGGGTTCTCTCGCGCCTCACTGCACCGCCCCCTCCCCACCCCCAATGGAACGGCAGCTTCTGGAACGGCAGCTTCTAGAAGGCAGCCACAGCCATGCTTTTGTTTTTGGGTGGCCCGCGCCTAGGCCTGCGGCCCTACACACAAACATGGAAGATAAGAAAAAAGGCAGATCGGGGTTGGGCATTATCAGGATCCTCTGGAGCCCCCCATCGCGACCCAAACAGAGCGACACCAGCAGAACCCTGCGACCCCGGCCCCGCCCCTCTGGGGACTGGCCTACGGATATGGCGGCAGAGCGGCGCCGACGCGGGGTGCCTTCCTGGCTACCGTCGCTGTCACCGCCCACTTTCCTTTCCCCCCCGCGTTCCCTTTCACTTCCGGAGTCCTGCTGGGGCCGCTGGTTTTTTAACAACATCCCGTTTTCGGCTGGGGCTAAGCGGCGGCGGCGGCGGCGGCGGCGGCGGCGGCGGCGGCGGCGGCGGCAACGGCAACGGCAACGGCAACGGCAACGGCAACGGCAACGGCAACGGCAACGGCAACGGGAGCTTCTCCAAAAGGACCCCTGTGTGGGCCTTGCCCGTCGGCTTCCTCGCCGACTCTCCTCAGGCTCGACGCCCCTTCCCGGGCCGGGCCGAGCCAAGTCGGGCTGGGAGTGAGGTGAGGTGAGGGGTGAGGTGAGGGGGGGAGCCCGGCCCCCGTCGCCATGGCCAGTAACTCGCAGCCCCAGCAGCCTCCGGCGCCGCCGCCTCCTCCGCCCCAGCCCCAGCCGCCGCCGCCGCCCGTCCCGGGCCCGGGAGCCGGGACCGGAGCTGGAAGCGGCCCGGGCCCAGGAAGCGGGAGCGGAGCTGCAGCTGCAGCCATAGCCGGCGGCGGCGGCGGCGGAAAAGCCGCAGGTGGAGGAGGAGGCGGCGGCGGCGCGGGAGACCCTCAGCTCGTAGCCATGATTGTCAATCACCTCAAGAGTCAGGGGCTCTTCGACCAGTTCCGCAGGGACTGCCTGGCCGACGTGGACACCAAGGTGCGGGCCGCGGGGGGCGCCCGGAGAGCAGCGGGGTTGGAGGGGACGGGGAGGGCCCGGTTGAGGGCCCGGCCTTCGAGGCACGGTGTGGACGCAGGGCCTCAACTGCCCCGAAGGCGGTCCCCGAGGTCGTGGGGGAGAGAGTGGAAGGGCGGGGGAAGGATGTAGTCCGGACGTTTGTTCGGGATATGGAGGGGAGATGCCCAGGCCCGAATGGGAGGAGGCTTCAGGGTTCAAAGGGAAATTGGGGCGAAGGTATTGACTGCACGCCGTTGTGGAAAGGAACTCTCGATCAGACTGTTAGTCTGCTTAAAACGCATTGCAAACTTGACGTGCTCTGTGAATGTAACTGTTAACTATCATTTGGAATCTGGAGTTGTGGTTCAAGTTCTGGTTCTGCTGCTGATTACTTTGCGTCTCTTTCTCTGGGTTTTCTAGGAGGTGAAATAAGATTGGATTTCTAATCTCCAGGGTTTTTGTTTTGTTTTTTAATAATCAAGACCCGGTCATGAGTTGAAGGTGCAGGGACGTGAGGGGTGGGATTGGGACCAAGCAAAAAGGGGGAACTGACAGGTGGGTTGACAGGAAGATAAATCCTAGTGTTGCTTGTTTGAAAATGAAGCTAGGCTTAAACAAGGAAGGATATTTAAGCTTTGACAAGGACCTTAGAGACCATCTCCAGAGGTTCTCGGACCTTTTTTTGTAGAACAGGGGTTCTTAATTTGAGGTTAATGTTTTGAGAATTGTTATTTCAATATAATCGTTTTCTTTGTAATCCTGTGTATTTATTTTTTGTATTTAAAAACATTCTGAGAATGAGTCCTTGGGTTTCACCAGATGACCAGAGGAGTCCATGACCAAAAAAAGATTAAGAATCCTTGTTTAAGAGTACTGGATGTTTTGGTCCGCCGAGGAAAAACATTTTTATTAATGATTTTTTTTTAAAGTGTGGTTGTTCAGATTTGGAGTTTTGGCTTTTTGTTGTACACTTGTGGAATGAGGTTGTTCCCAAGGCATCTTGAGATTTTTTGTTTTTGTTTTTCTAAATAATTTTTTTTTCTAGAGCTCAGATAGTTACAATGAATTTTTTCTTACCTGCTGCTCAGGGTAATTGGGCTGATTTCCCAAGTCTAAAGTCTAACCCCTGGGAAAGCTCCTATTAAAAATCTGAGAAATGCTTTCCTACATAAGAATTGTGATAATGAGTCCACCATCTTTAGTAAATTACTCTACATACCAAAAATAGAACCTTTCATTAAAGTTTTTCTAAAGCTCATCTAAAATATAAGACAAGACCTGAGTTCAAATCCTAACTGACACATACTGGCCATGTGACCTTGGGTAAGTCACTTGTTGATCCCCATTTATAGAGTAAATTTCTAAGTCAGCATTCCCTGTATTGAAATTCTCTGTATAGAAATCTTTGAGACATCTTTAATAATCACCACCATCCTGCTGCCACTATGTTGGTACAAGCCTTCATCACCTCATACCTGTCTCATATTGACCTTTTGATTGGTCACCCTGCCTTAAGCCTGTAGTCACTCCAATCCATCCTCCAGTCAGTTGTCAAAGTGATGTTAAAGTTCAGGTCTGACTATTATCATTTTGCCACTACCATCCCCTCCCCATCTTCCCAACCCCATCACCTCCATGTTCAAATGTAAAATCTTCTGACTTCTAAAGCCCTTCATGACGTGGTCCCTTCTTACCTTTCCAGTCTTATGCCTTATGCCCTTCCTTGTACTGTACAATTCATTAACACTGGTTTCCTTGCTGTTCCTCAGACAAGATACTCCATCTCCATACTCTGCATTTTCCCTAGCTGTCCCTTATGCTTGGAATTCACTCCCACCTCATCTCCATCCCCTGGCTTGCCTGGCTTCTTTCAGAATGCAGCTTAAACCCCGCTTTGTTCAAGAAGTCTTTCCTGATCCCTTTTAAGGCCTTCCTTCTGTGATTACCCCCAACTTATCTTGTACATATCTTATTTATACATGGTTTTTTCTATGTTGTCTCCCCCATTGGCTTATGAGCTCCTTTTGCTTTTCTCTGTATTGCCCAGGGCTTAGCACAGTTCCTGGCATGTAGTAGGTGCTTAATAAATGTATCTTGACCTTTTTTTAGTCGTTGTCAAGGCAATCCCTAAATAATTTTCCTCTATTCATTGTTCCCTCTTGCCATTTTGTGGCTATCCTGTTCAGAGTAGAGACATCCAACTTTAGGATGACAGAATTGGACTGTAAGCAGAAGTAAATAACTGGTAGTAATAATTTTGAAGTCTGTATCCCAAATGAATAACTTCATAAAAAATTATAATGGAATTTTAGAGTTGGGAGGGACCCTAATTGGTCATCTTTGACAGCCTTCCCAATTCCTTAAGGGAAAGTCTTCCTACTAGGTAGTTTGTAGAATCTGTTAAGCCTCTCTAGAGCCCTTTGGTTTTTTATCTTTCTTTTCTTTTTGTATATGTGTCTTTACTTCTGTGACTTTCTGTGGCTGTCTTATCTTTTTCCCCTTCACTGGTTCCTTTCCTCTCTCTCCTTTCTCTATCATAATTTGCTACAATATAGAATTGACGTATATTTTAAAATATTTTCCATATTTATTTAACAATATTTTGTCTCCTTTACTAAATACACAAATCAAATGAGTTAGCCTTTTAGTATAAGGTCTTAGGGAAAGATAAATTTTAAGTAGCTTTTATTTTCATGTGGCTTTGGATAGATCTTTTTCCTTCCTATGGGTCGGTGTTCTTGAGTAGGAAAAAAATCCCTTACCCCTGCTCAAGAAGTTTTTCTAAAATTTTATTATATGAACATATTCATATAATCTTTAGTGAACAGAGCAGCAGGAGAAATGCTCGTATAACTGTAAGCTATCACATTCAATCCAGCATTCACACCAGTAACAGGATTTTCACTTTGTTTTAATACTTCTGTTCATTCACTCTGTGGTCCATTCAGACTGCCTTCTTGCTGTCCTTCACACAGGACACTCTATCCTCTGTCTCAGTGCTTTTGTACAGGCTGTCCCTCATACTTTCAATGTACTTCCTCCTCACCTCTTAGAAACTTGAGTTTCCATCAAAGCTCAGCTCATTACATTCGACATGAAACCTCCCCTGTTGAACCATCACCAAGCTGCTAGTGCCTTACCCTCAAAATTATTTTATAACTGTGTTATATATGTTTACCCATGTCCAAACCTTCAATAGAATGTAAACTTCTAGAGACTGTTTCCTTTTTGTCTTTGTATCCCCAATGCCTAACACAGTGTCTGTCACATAGTAAGTATTTAATAAATGCCTGTTGATTGATTTTAACAAGCATTTATTAAATATTTATGTATGGAGAACTGTTCTAGAACTGGCAGGCTGACTGAGTTGCAAGGAAGACAGGTACAGACTGAACAGTAAATGTAGGTTCAGTACTCTGAACTATTCTAGAGGTCTGAAGATTGTCTTAAGAAGGCTAATTTGGGGGCTTTGGTGATCTTATGTGCTTAGGGAGACATTCTCATTTTCTCAGACTAATTCAGCCTTCTCTTCCTCCCTTAACCTGCCTCAGATGAACTAGATATCCTTTGAAACTAACCCATCTTGTGGAAGATCCTACTGATTAGGAATTGAAGTGGGTTCAAATGGAGATACGCACACTTTACAAGACCCACATTGCTTGGATAGTTCTAATATTTCAACTGTTCTGGTATTTGGCATGGGTATTGACACTGAATAATAGGAGAAATCAACCCACTCCAGCACTTTGCCCTGAAACAACCAGTGAACAAGTAATGGTGTGGAATGGTACTCCTGTGTAGTGAAGTAGAATAAGCTTTTTGATACATTTAATAATTAAATCAGGTCTCTGCTCAGTTTGATTATAGTCTTGATTTGGCAGATCAGACACAGCTATCAGGGAAGAAGAGAAATATTCAAAGGGAATTACTATCAATAACCTTTAAATTTAAAACAAGCAATAGTTAAACACAAAGAATACCTTTATTATTAAAAAAAAAAAAGTCGTGCCATTAAATTAATTACTTGCATTTGGGCAGCAGGTAGGACAGTGAGGTAGCTTTGGATAGACTTTTCACTGAAAGTAAGAATTGGAAAATGACAGGTTAGTTCAAAGTTTAACAAAGGGAATGTTGCTTTGACCAAACGGAGTAAAAACGTTTAAATTTACTCCCAAAGGTAATTTGAAGTAGCAGGCATGATTGAAACTAGTATTCGGCAATGGAAATGAAGCATTTTGAATTGAGTGGAATAGAGTTTTGCAATATGGTATAGAAAAGAAGTAATTTTAATCCTCCTTTTTTGGAATCATCTAGTGTATGCATAGCACATTATGTTCTAGTTTCATTCTGTATGTATGTTTTAGATCTGTTTCTTGTATATAGCATATTATTAGGTTTTGTTTTCTTACCCATTTGGCAGTTTGCTTGCTTTATTGGATTGTTTAATTCATTCATATTTAAGGGTACCATTACAGGGCTCCTTAATTTCCTCTATTTCTCTATTTTTAAAAAATTATCTTAACCTATGGAGATGACGTTTATAATTGTTGCAAAGGATTGGGGTAGTATCTCACATTGATTTGGATTATCAGAAGAAATCCTTTCTCCTTGGGAGGAGTAGTAGTGAAAAAGATTTTGATAGTGATTTCCTGTGAAGAAACTCTTTGCTGAGGCAAATTGGCAGTTATTTTGAATTTAAAGTTAGAGAGTTGTCTGTTGGCAGCAAGTCGACTCTGGTCACTAGCTAGTTTATGTCAGAGGAAGAACTTGAACCTAGGTAATCTTGACTACAAAACTGGCCCTCTATCTACTTCTCCATGCCTCTGCAAAAATTGCAGAGATAAAAGAATTATAAAAGAATAAAAAAAATTCATACTTAATTTTAAGTAGGTATCATATATCTGAAAGCTATCTAAAATAGAATTTCAGTGAAAGAAATTAGTAGCAAAGATCCATTAATTAGCCAGATTGAACCCTTAATTAGCCCGGTAGAATGAAGTTGGGAAAATAATAAGTGCCTCAAATTAAGCAAATATTTAAACTGTCTACTGGGTATTTCCATTTGAACTTCTTCCTATATAACATATAACATGTCAGAAACCAACCTCATCATTCTCTTCAAACCAGACTCTTCTGACTTAGCTAATTCTGCTCATGACCCCATCATTCTCTCAAGTTACCAAGGCTCCAGAGCTCTGAGGTATCTTTAACTACCCTCCTCCCTGACTCCCTGCTACATGCACACATATAGTTTCAAGTCCTACTTCCTCCATATTGCTCACATTTCTCCTTTCCTTTCTGTTACCCCTGGTGCTACCCTATTTCAGGCATTCCTTGCCTCCTGTCTGGACTGTTAATAGCCTTCCAAGTGATCTCTCCACTTCTGGTCTTCACTCTTTTTTTTTCTCTCTCTCATACTATTTTTCAAGGCATAGGCTTATTCTTTGCCCTGAAGAATGGTGGCATATTATGAGATGCCTATGCGTGTGATTGATTGCAAATGTAAATTCTCACTGATTCTCAGGGTACTTGTTCTTGTACATGCAGTTGGAAGTTTTAAGTTTCATAGAACTCACTACACTTGGCAGAACTTGCTTGGTACATTGGAATGCTGTTTGAAGACCACTGCTCTATCACATCAAGTTCATCCTTCATGCTTCGCACAACTGGATACTTAGATTAGTTATTCAAAAATAAAACTATTATCCTATCATTCCCCTGCTTAAAAATCTATCATGGCTTTTTCTTTCTTGCCTTTGTAGTTAAAAAAAAAAGACTGATAAAGAAAAGTGACCTTTAGAATTGAGGGGTGTAGCTTGGAATAAAATTCAAACCCTTTGGTGTAACATTCTAAGCCCCCTAAATCTTAACATTTCTTTCCAGTTTTCTCTGAGTTATTCACATCCCTGGATATACCCTGTTCTTTCCTCTGACAGTTTGTTTATGCTTTTCTCTCTGCCTGGAATGCTCTCCCTCAATGTCTGTCTTTTAAATTCCTTTTCTATCCTTCTCTGAATTCCCATAGCAGTTTGTACCTATTTTTGATATTTGTAACATTCTACCCAGTATTGTAAAATTTGTATGTCTGTCTTATCTCCCCTACTGTATTGTAAGTTCCTTAGTGGTAGGGGCCATTTCTTGCTCATTTTTTATCCTTTATATTGTCTTCTGCATTGTAAGTAAGTGTTCAATAAATATCTACTGAATAAATGAGTTGCTCTGACATGGAGTAACAGTCTCCTGGAATTTTTTTATTATTAATAATATAGTCTTAGGAATCATTTGTTGTTAAAGATGTTTGAATTCCTGATAACATCAGTTTTAATATTGTGTACCATTTATGATTTTCTTTCTAGCCTGCCTATCAGAATCTGAGACAACGTGTGGACAACTTTGTTTCAAATCATTTAGCAACTCATACATGGAGTCCCCACCTCAATAAGAACCAGTTAAGAAACAATATTAGACAGCAAGTTCTCAAGTAAGTGTCAGAATTGTTTAAAAAAATAGTTCACATGCCGATTTTAAAATGTCACAACCTACTTTTACTTTAACATAGTTACACTGCTCAGAAAAGTTTGTTTACCAAATGATGTTAGCATTTTATCAAGTTCTAGAAGCTAATGTCATATGACAGCATAATTTTAGCAGTGTTCTACATTCACTTTTAACATTCTTTTCCTAAACTGGAACAGTCTGCTTTTTTTTTTCTATAGACCGTACTGGCATAACTAGAGGAGGAGAGTAGTTCTAATGGGGGAAATGATATTTCAGTAAGTCAGTCAACTAGTTATTAAGCACCTACTATGTACCAGGAACTGTGCTAAACATTGGAGATACAAGTACGGCAAAAGACAGTCCCTGCTCTCAAGGAGGTCATAGTCTTTTAATGTAATTTAGTCCATTTGATTAATTTTTTAATTAAAAAATAGATATTTTTATTTAATTCAACAAGCATATATTAAGTGCCTACTATAAAATGGGTACACACTAGAGAAGGAAATGGCAAATCACTCCAGTATCTTTGCCAAGAAAACCCATGGACAACATCCATAGGGTCACATAGAGTTGGACAAGACTAAACAACAGGGGGCAGCTAGGTGGCACAGTGGATAGTGCATCGGCCCTGAAGTCAGGAGGACCTGAGTTCAAATTAGGCCTCAGACCAAACACATGACACTTACTAGCTGTGTGACCCTGGGCAAGTCACCTAACCCCAGTTGCCTTAAAAAAAAAAAGACTAACAACAATAACAACAATCGCATGCAAGGCACTGCTAAATACCAGAGAAACAAATGAAAATTGGTAATCCTACTCAAGGAGGATTATATTCTACTAAAGGGGAACCATAGTCTTAATACAAAGTACGACATTGTGGGAACAAAAATGAGAACTAGACAAGTGGTTTATCCAAAAATTTGTGGTGAAAGAGCATTAGTAGAACCTTCTACACAGATATTTATTTGTCGAAAAACTTTGGAGGCTCAGGTTGAGAGGAAGAAACTTATGTTCAAATACCTTCATAAGATTTTTAATCTTTATTTTGTCTTATTCTGAAATTTGTATTATTCATGGGTTTCATTACAAAGCTGTTAGTATAGCATTCTTTTATTCTTTTTTACCTCAAAGAGCAGTAGTTTAAGAAAAAGGTATATCCATGGTATTTCATGCTCTTGACCATTTAGCCTCAAATTTTTTTTTCAAATCATTCTGATTTCTGACGGGGGAGGGAGGGAGAGAACAAAAATAAAAATCTTATAAGACATTCTAAGGCATTGTATTTAAGAAAAAGTATACTGATGATGTTTTGGCTTTTTTTCCACAGAAATCATTTCCCAACAAAGTACTTTACAAAATATGTTCCTCAAAAATAATTAAGCAAACTGCTTTATAATAGGGCTTATAGCACATCCATTGTAATGCATTTCAATGCTAGGTAGACATGTTAAGAGAGACAGCTTAGGGTAGTGGAGAAAGTACTAGAAGTCCTACCTGTAATACTTATTAGCTGACATAACATCTCTGCGCTTTGAACTGTAAAGAATTATATACTGACTTAGAGCAAAGTTGTGACCTTCCTTGGTAGAAATAACACTACATTTACAGAATCACAATTCATTAATATATTGATGTATGTTGAAGCTCATCTTGCTTATTAAATGGGTTTAAAGTCTCAGGTGAAAAGTCACATGAGCTTTGGTCCTAGCATTTCAAAAGGATTTTGAAAAAACTAAAGTGTCCAGAAAACATGCAAAAAAAAATTATTCTGGTAAGATATATACTTCAACCTTTGAACCTAATGTTCAGGGAGTTTTTTATTTTTAAAGAAAGGACAGTGGGATGACTTAATAGCTGTTGAGCAAAAAATGATTATGAAAGTTATCCATCTCCTTATAGAACCAAACAAGAATATGAGTTTAAATTGAATTGAGAATTTCTGGTTAGGTGTCCAAAAGAAGGACTTATAACATTAAGGACTATAAAATTAAACATTGGAATAGGCTACTCAGGAACATTATAAAATCTTTATCCGTGAAGAAACAACCTAACTATGTCAGTTTAATAGGATAGATCACCAGCTATTTTAGGTTTAAACATTGACCTACCTGAGTATTGGTATCTGGAAAAGATAACTTCTTTTAGTTATGTATAGTTCTTTGACTTACTTAGAAAGTCAAAGATTTCATATTTATAAAAATATAACATCACTTTTTGTAATATTTGTGAGTGCTCATCATTTGGGAAATGACTGAATGCATTGTGATATGAATGTAATATATTTTTACACCATAAAAGTAATCAATATGAAAATTTTATAAATTTTAAAAAGCTTATGTGAATGGATACAGTGAAATAGAACCCCAAAACCCCCCAATTTATACAGTTACCTAAGTTGTTTAAAATTAAAAGAAATTTACATGGAAAAGTATAGGAGCTCTCATTGTAGAAGACTGGCAGTGAAATACTACCTTATGCCTCAGCAGAAAAGCAGTGGACTATAAGTGTGGAATTAGGCATGTGTTTTCAGATAGTATGTGTTGATTCATTTTGCCGATTTTTTTCCCAAAAAGAAATGGTTCTGTTGCAGGGAATAAAATTCTGTTGGGGAGTGAAAACCAAGAAGGAAAAGAAAACAACATTAATAAGATGTGTCGTTGTTAATTTTGTTGTTGTTTTAAGAAAGTAACCTTGGGTTGCCTAGATTCCATTAAGTATACCTTTTTACATAGCCAAATCACTTTGCACTTCTCAGCCTTAATTTTCTCAGCTGTCAGTTAGAGGTATTATTTGTACTATCTCCCAGAGATAGAAATAGTTGTGGGGAAAGTACTTTGTAAATCTTCAATTGGTGCTATGAAAATATGACCTATTTTATTACAGTCTCATTAACCAGACACAGTTTAGGGGTATTCAAGAGAAGTGTTTAAGAAATCAGCTTACACAAAAATTGCAAATGATTTGTCATACATAGTGAAAAATGTTAAGTTGACTATAACTGGACAGTTTACCCAGAAAAATACTTCTTTCTGCTTCTGTATTCATTTATGGCATAGTCTAAAGATGGTGAGTATTTCTGAATAATGAGACTGAGATCTTTACTGAGCAGAGTTAATGCAGCCATAGAAATAGCTCTGTAGGATCAGGGTGACCATCACTAGATTACAGCAGTTTCTGAGCTTCCAATATTGCTGTGACTACTTTAGGATTTTGTTATGGAGTAGGGGCTGCTCACTCAAATCCTAGAGCTAAGCTCATGCCCTACCCAGGAGCCTTCCACAGTGGTTATAGTGCTCTTGACCTTCACCACTTTTCATTGTTAGTTTAAAAATAAGATTATGATCTGAGGAAGTAAAGAAGATAGAGGATTTCTTTTTTTTCTTCTTCTTCTTCTTAGACGTAGAACGAAGCGGATAAAGGGGAGACTTTCTTTCCATGCCTTTTAAAATATATGTTATACTTGTACTTTGAATCAGAATACTTTGAATTGCTTTTAGATTGTTTATCACTTTTCTATATGCTGCCTTTCCTTTATGTGTGTTTTAACGTAGAGCTTTACATTTGTAGAATTAGCATCTTTATTTTAGTCCCTTTAAGAAGCATATAACCTACTTTGTGGTATGTTCTTATTTTTTTGATTCCCTGTGGCCCATATAGCTATACTCATAGAGTCACAGAGCTTGGAAGGTGCTTCAAACGATCATCTAGTTCATTGCTTGACTCCAGACAGAACTTTACTCAAAATATCCAAGAGATTTAATTTTCTACTTTTTTCATTTTTTTTCCTTTTTTCTTTTAAATTTCTTACTCCTTGTTGCCCTATAGCATCAGAGGCAAGTTACCCCTTTTTCATGTGCCGTATGTTCCTTGCCTACGCTTGTTCCCTCCATGTATGCCTTTCTGTTGGGGTCATCCCCCACGTGTGTCTTTTGTGGAGTCTTTCCCCACTGAGACTGGGTGTCCTTGTGGGAAACTACCCCAGGTTTATGGGGAAAGATTTTTTGTTGCTACTTTTCTTACCATACAATTTCATAAAATGCCTTTGTTTAAAAATATACCTAGTAGTTTGCTTTCTAAAGAGTAAAAATGTCAACTGCTTAATGTTTAAAGAGACCAATAAAAAGAAAGCCAGAAATCTTAAGTTTTATTTACCTTTTGTCTAAAGTCTTATTTGATTGAACTAGGCTTTTTTTTTTGTATGGGTTCATCAGTTTCCTTGGAGATCATAACACTTGCAAATACTTTTATTTCTGTGCAAATGATTGTTAAATTCATAAATAATTATCAAGTTATTTTAGACTCAGTAATGATTTTTAGTGACCATTTGCTGTTAAGTTTTCCTTAGACACTGGCTAGGGCAAGTAATTTTCTAAGAATCAATTATATTGAGTTACTTGAACTCTGGAGCCATTACTCACTACCTTTCAAAAGAGAGTTTAAGATTTGTGCTTTAAATATTTTGTTTTCATTCTACAAGTGACGTTCAGATATTCTGGATGATAGGAAGGATGCAAAATTTGTTGTCCCTGAGAACCATCACAAATACCATAAAACATCTTGTTTTACTCATAAACCCCTACGAAATCTTGCTTGGGCTAAGGGGAGGAAAATCACATGTGATCATGCAAAGAGTGTTTATAAATGTATGATATTTTGAAGAGGTATGAGAATGCAAGGTAAAGTGTAAAGTTATATGTAATTTTAGCTACTTTTCTTACTGTGCCAATTCTCTTTCCTCCTTCACCAACCTCCAGAATAGGTTCAACTTTGAAAGAACTTACATAAAAGAAAAAGAATATGGTCAGTTAAAATTAAATTTCATTTAATCTCTGTTTTAATTTTCCTGTTTCAGGTCAGGAATGTTGGAGTCTGGTATTGACCGAATTATTTCTCAGGTCGTGGATCCAAAAATCAACCACACATTCAGACCTCAGGTGGAAAAAGCTGTTCATGAATTTTTGGCCACATTAAATCATAAAGAGGAGACAAGTGCCAGCACAACTCCAGATGACGAAAAACCGGATTCTTCCATCATAATGCAAGGTATTACTTTTGTTCTATAAATTTGTATGCATACCACCAGCTCTCATTTGATTTGAATAGTGTTTGAAGGGAGCATCATTTAGAGATAATGTCACTAACAGTTGGGTGTATCAGGAAAGCTTTTTTTGTAGAAGGTAAGTCTTGAGGTAAGTCTTGAAGGCAATAAGGGATTGTACAAAACGGTAGTGCATGCCAGACATGGAGTATGACCTATGCAAAGTTGCAGTGAAAGAAGTAGTGTCTTGTGTGGGGACAGCAAAAAAGCCAGTTTGACTGGACTAAAGTGTGAGGTGAAGAATGGGGCTGGGAAAATACATTGGGATCAGACTGTGAGGGGTTTTGAAAGCCAAGTAGAAGAGTAGATAGATATTTGAATCTAAAGGCTAATAGAGAGCCACTGTAATTTTATTGAGTAGAAGAAGGACATTTAAGCAGCCATGTAGAGGTTGGACTAAAGTGGAGAGAGATTCAGTGGAGACCAATTAGGAAGATTTTGTGGTAGTCTTTAAGTGATAGATACTGTGAACTAAGGAGGTGGCCCTGTAAGTTGGGAGAAAAAGATAAGATGCCAGAGATTTTGTGGGAGAAGACACACGCAGAGTTAGAAATGACAACAAATTGGATATACAGGTGAGGGACAGTGGATGGAGTTTTCACTAGAAATAGGGAAGTTCAGAAGCATGGAAGGGTTAAGGGAAGCGCTTATTGGACGTATCGAGTCTGAGATGTCTCTGGGATCTTAGTTTGAAATAAAAAATTTGTGATGCAAGAATAGAGCTCAGGAGAGAGACTGGGGCTGGATATACCAATTTGGGAGTCATCTTCAGAGACATAATTAGCCAATAGGAGCTGATGAGGTCACCAAGACAAAGTGTAAAGGAGAGGACAGAGCTTGAAGTACACCCCCAGTATTGGCCCTGTGATGTGGGTAGTGAACCAGTAAAGGAGACTGAAAAGAAGCAGTCATACAGATAGGAGAAGAACCAAGAGAGAATAGTGTCACTTAGAGACAGGAGAGAGCATTCAGAAGAAGATGGTCAGCAGTGTCAGTGCCACAGAGATGTCAGTGAAGATAAGAACTGAAAAAAGGCTATCATACTTAGCAGTTAAGAGGAGGACATTGGTAACTTTGGAAAGAGCAGTTTTAGTTAAGTCAGAAGTCATATTTTGAAGGGTTTCAGGAGTGAGTGAGAGAAAAGGAAGTAGAAGCAACTGTAGGTGTAAATGGCTTTTTTTCTAGGAGTTTGGTGAGAATGAACTGAGCCAAATACTATTCTCATTAAGGAAGAAAGACATAGTGAACTAGAGGTAGCTAATCAGTAAATATTTAAGTGCTTATATGTTACAGTATTCTGGGCTCTAGAGATACAGAGAATGGCAAAAGACAATCCCCTTCCCTTAAAGATCTCACAGTCTAATGGGGGAGACAACATACAAACAAGCTATATATAGGATAAATCAACAGAGGGAATATTGCAGTCTGAGAGATTGAGAGACCCCTCAAGAACTGGAGTATAAGATGGGGTTGTCTGGAATGAATTCACAGACCCAAGCGTTTGTTAAGTCAAGGTGGCAAAGATTTATTGTTATGCTATACAGCAGGGAAAGGTCCTTAAGGAATTCTGCTACAGTGGGCAGAGCTCCTTAGGGAACTTGCAACCTAACAGGAATAATGCTAAAGCTTATATAGGAAAAGCAGTGGTATGTGCCAAGTTATTCTAATTAAGTGATAACATACAGTTACATTATTCACTACTGGAAACTGGGAAGAAAGGGCTCCTAAAGGGTGTATTTTTGGTCTGTTATTGTCTGGAACAAAATAGCTTCGGGAGCTGACGTCTATAGCTTGACCTCTGGATTCTATACGGTAACTGTGGGCATCAGTACTTGATAGTTCTGCTGGTATAAGATAGTCCTGTTCATACAAGGGAAATTCTACAGAATTCAGCTTGTTCTTATAATAGGGAGAGATAGTTTGCCTCACTGGGCACACTCATAAGTTACTGCCAGAGATAGGGTCCTTGGGCTGGAGGGAAACTGTCAGGGATAGGGTTTGAAGCCAGGAAGAAATTGGGGTCCAAGCACCCCATCAGGAAGATACTAGAACTAAGGGTTGTGAAAGGCTTCCTATAGAAGGTGAGGGTTTCCGTTTGGGCTATAAACTCTTGAGGGTCTTTGCCTCCCAGATTGGTTTGTTGTTTTTTTTTTTTTTGACGAGGTAAAAGAAGCTATTCTTTTCCTCATTTTCTACTAGCCTTAATCACTGAATGAACTTTGCCTCAGTCAAACTAATACCCTAATTCCCGTTAAAGACTTTAGCCTAAAAAGGCCAAGGTCTCCCATTGCATCTGGGGCCATCTCCAGTAGTCTTCAACTATATCTTGCCACTAGGCCCACATGGCTCTGGAGGAAAAAAGTGAGGCTAGTGACTTTGCAAAGCCCTTCCTCACTTAAATCAAATTCAGTTGCAAGTCGTGGCATCACCTTCCTGATGTCATGGTCCTCTTCTCGAATGAAGGACTAACAGCAGTAGAAGGTGGGATTTTATCTGGGACTTAAAGAAAGCCAGAAAGTGTGGTGATGAAGCTTTTGTGCATGAGGGACACCAAATCTGGGCAAGGTGACATAGGTGGATGGAGTGAACTACAAAGTAGCCAAGTGATGATGTCAGAGAGCAAGGCTGGAAGAGGCTTTAAGGAGTAAAGAGTATACCAACTCCTGATCCAGTGTGTTCTGAGCATAAAGAGCAGCCTGGAGAAGGTGGTAAGAGATGAATTGTCTTCATGAGAAAGTCAGGTTTCCCCAAGCAGCAGATGATTGAAAGTGTTGCGTGATCCTCCCTCTTTCCCCTTAAGGGGAGGGACTAGAAAAACAAATTATAGAAAATATTCTCTGCCTCGTGTCTAATAGCTATTGCTTTTTCAAATATATATAGTGATAGCAACCATGAGCTATCTGCAACCCTGAGCTCCTGAAATGTAAGCAGAGAGGCACCTCTGTACAATACCTGTGACCAAATGACCACATAAATAGCCTTATCACTCTGCAAAGCTACATATTACATCAAGAGCCCAGAGTCTTACTGATTATTTTTTAAATTAGCCACTCTTCCAGTTCTGTTGGAATTTTCCCTCAGAGTAGTACCTCTGGGGGTTGATAACTGTAAATGCCTTTTTATCAGATTGAACTTCCAAGAAACCCTAACCTCAAATGTATTTATTTGATGGACTTTTTATTACTTGACTAGACCTTTTATTTCTCTGTTGTGAGCTTATTCGCTCTGCCCCTTTGGAGGGGAGTGAATAGTCCTTGTGTCTTTTTTGGTCCTCGGAGAATGGACTTGTCTTTTTATCTCTGTTGGGCAGTAAGGACCTAGAAGTACCTTTTGAGAGGTCAAGTAGCAAGGATAGGTTTGTTTATGTTAATTGGCCTCATGAGAGCCAGTTTCCAGACCTTTGGATGAGTTTATGACTTCTGAGGCCATACTCATTTACTAATAGGAGGAATAATACAAAGAAACAGATCATGTCACATACAGGGCCTTTCCTCTGAAGAGCTCAAGGTATCACATAGTCAAAATTCAGTTGACACAAACATCTGTGCCCAAGAAATTAAAAACGCAAATAGTCATGTAATGTCTGTAGAGCAGTTTATCAATTTTTAAATAATTTATTAAAAGTCTAGTGTGTGCCAAGGGTTACTGTTTTGTAGATACTGATAGTTCATGTTTATAAATCATTATATAGTTCATAGTTAATTAAGTAAAACTGATGTTCTGTATGTATAAATCCTTTAGTAAACTTTCCTTCATTTTAAGGTGTTCCCACTGCTGGATCCAGTGCTAACGTAGCTAACGATGCCATGTCCATTTTGGAAACTATAAGTTCTCTTAATCAAGAAGCAAATGCTGCGCGGGCATCAACAGAAGCTACAAATCCCAAGACCAGTGAAAGAACATCAAAAAGACTCCTATCTCAGCCAAGCATGGATGCTGGCCCTGATCGAGAGAGAAACACAGAAGACATAACAGACAAAGACAAATGTTTGTCTGACCCATTCATTGAAGGACTTGAAACAGTCTCAAAGTCAGAAGACTTAAATGATCTCCCTAGTCCAGTTGAAGAAATAAAAAATCCCATGAAGGACGACAATAGTTTGATTCTACCAAACAAAGACTTCCTACAGGAAAACAGTGACCAAAAAACTAAACTAATAGATAAAGGGGAAAAGAAACCAGATAGTAATGAGAAGAGTGAAAGAAAAAAAGAAAAGAAAGAAAAAACTGATAAGAAATATGACCATTCTAAAAGAAATGAAGATATACAAAAAACAAAGGATGAAAAGCAAGTAAAAGAAAAAGAAGTGGAATATGCAAAACAGCCACCCTCAGAGAACAGTAATAAACTTAAGAAGTTTGATGAGACAAAAGAAGGTATGAAAATTTTGTCCAAAGTATGTTGTAGTTGCTTTGCTTGGCTTTTTGATAAACTCAGATTTATGGAAGGTACTAGGATACATAAGATCTAAAACCTTAAGTTCCTTTTTTCCCAGCTAATGCAGCATAAACTTCTGTTTCTTTTCTACCTTAATATGGTTGTTTATAAGGTAAGCTAATATCTCTTTATTCAAATGCATTCATTAATTCAAAGCAGCTCCCCAAATATATCCTCCTCAAACTATTACATATTTCATTCCAAGTTTTTATAGTTACATTTTAAGTTAATGAAGTTTTATTGTCTTTACAAGTTGATTTATATGCCATTTAGATTTTGGTGCAAACAACTCTATATTAATTTCATTTTCTTAATCAGTGGTGGGAATATTTTAAACTTAAAAAACTAAATTTCTGTAATAGTTTCAAAATATGTAATTTTTTTTATTTTTATGTATTTATGTTTTATGTATGTATATTTATGTATATTGTGTTTTGAGAATTTCCTAATGTCAAGATTTCCTGTGTTTACTTTTTGTCTGTGTGTTTTTAAAATTTGTTCTTTGATAGATTCAGATGAGGATGGACTTACAGATGTTACAGTTAGCTCTGTCCATACCAGTGATCTCTCATCTTTTGAAGAAGAAAGTGAAGAAGATGCTGTAGTTTCAGATAGCACTGAAGAAGGAGAGATTACATCTGATGGTAAATGTTTGCCGCATGAAAACATACGTATTTTATATATACAATTTTATATACATTTATATATACAATTTTATAGATGCAAGTTTTATTTAGTGTTTTGTTTATGTGGTCATAAAATTGAATTCTAATTGTCATTTTTATAAAACATGCTTCTAAATGTTAAATGCTATTCATAAGTTGGTATCACCTTTCACAATGTCCTCTGCTTTGTGAGACCTAGAAAGTAAAAACAGTTCAAGGGAAATGTTTAAAAAGACAAGGACAAGGGGAAAAGGGTTGAAATAAAATGGAAGCAATTGTAGGTAAAGAGGAATGAACAGGGAAATAGGAAAAAAGGAAAATGTTTATGCTCTGAATATGTTTACCTAGGCCTTCCCAAAGTCCTTTTTCACTTTTTTTTCCAACCCTTTGCAATTTTTACCTATTAAAAATTCATCCATGTGCACAAAAATGCACCAGTTTTATATAGCTTCACTCTGGCATTAGTCCTGTGGGAGACTGAATAAAAAGAAAGCTGGTCATCCTGTGAAAGCACAACCCTATGGTCAATTAATAGAAAGTTTAGCTAATGACTTATAAAAAATGTTTTAATTTATTTATACATTATTTTTTGACCTAACAGACTTCTTAATAAACAAACTAACCTCTTTATGAAATATATTTCCCCCAAACAGTTAATCAGTTGTTAAATAGGAGGGAAGTGCCTTTTGACTTCTGATAGTATGAGATTTACATTGACCATTGCATCTGACTGGAGTTTTGTGACTGTTTAGTGTTAATATCATTCTTATATTTTGTATACCTTTTTTTGGGTTATGCTTTTATCACTTCATAAAGGATCTGCTATGTTTCTCTGGATTTTTTATATTTGTCATTCCTTATAGAACAATACTGTTCCATTACATTATGTGTACTTTGTACACAATTTCAAGTCTTTTCACAGTAGCCCCTAATCACTGGAACCTGGTCTCCACTGGAAATAAAGGCATTTAAAAAACAAAACCAAAAAAAAGTCATTTTAGATTACTGAGTAGTAGGAAATAAATAACTTATTTACAGAAATGGTCTCCTTCCTCACTCTCAATCATATCACGTAGAAAAACACCAGTCTTCATGTATGTGTAGTCTAATTTTTTAGCATATTTAAGCTACTTGTTTATATTTGGTTTTAGACCTAAATGAGAAAGGATTAGACTGTCATAAAAATTTATGTCAGTTTAACTAAAGTACACCTTATTGAAGGACCTCAGGTGAATTCATTTCATTCAACAGACTTTATTGAATGCCTTCTCTCTTAAGAGGCACTGCTCTAGGCCCCAAGAAAACATAGAGGTGAATAAGACAGTTGCTATCTCTCTTCAAGAAAATTATAACTCAGTAGGGGGATTAAGATAAGTACGCAGATCACTGTAAGCAAAAGGTAAAATTTAAGTGTTAAGACTACCACATGTGAGTTGTTGATTATAGGGAGATTATTAAGTCATGTCTTGTAGTAAAGGAAATATTTTTGTGAATCCCCACATACTGTTTTTGCTTTTGAGGGATATCTAAAGAACACTTGGGTCATACAGAAGTCAAATGTGGTCATTAATCAATATGCTGTTGATTTTTCTGTTAACTTACAAATGCTTTCCTCTTTTTATTCACTTTATTCTAGATGAAGAAAGAGAGATTAAAAATAAAGCAAAGCCTCAGGTTAGTGAGCCTGGGGAAGGAAAAGCAAAAACTGTCCGGCATACTTATGTGCACCGGCCTTATCTCTACTCCAAGTATTACAGTGATTCAGATGATGAGCTGACCGTAGAGCAGCGTCGGCAGTCTGTCGTAAGTCTCCATTCTCTCATCATTCAGCTTCATCTTCCCAAGCTGTAAGTCTAGTAAATAAAACCAGAAAATGGGAATGAGATGTAGGGAGAAGAGTGAAGTAGAAGAGTGAATCTGAGCTATGGTACTTACTAGGCAGGAAACCATGAGGAAGTCATTGAACCTCTCGTTGTGTCCGAGTCTCCTTTTTGTCTCAATGGAGAATATAGGTTTACCACTTAATCAGTAAGACTATGATAAAAGCACTTTGTGAACCATCAGATGTCATACAGATATTCATAAGGAGTATAAGAGACAGTCCTTAACCTCAAAGTGCTTGAGGGCAAAATGACATAAATGTGAAAAGTTTAGTGAAACCAGATTTGAAAAACATTTCAGGACCATAGATTGAGATTGCATAAGGCAGTACAGGATTACTTAACAAATACTCATGGAAAAGAATTGCTGTAGGAGCCCCAAAGATGGAGAGATCACTTCAGGCTCCAGTGGTGAGGAAAGGCTTTGTGGGAGAGGCTGGTTTTGAGCTGTGTCATGATTTATTGAATAGGATTTGAAGAAGTAAAGTGGGGTGGGGGTGACAGATGTGAGCAAAGGTAGAGGTGGCAAACTATAAAATACATTTCCAGAGCAGTTAATAAATCTGTTTGACTGGAACAAAGAATTTCTACAAAGAAGAAATGGAGTGACAATACTAGAAAGGTAGATGGGAAAAGCTTTGTACTTTTTCCAGTTTCGATGCTATAGAAGGGTACTGGTTGATGACAGCTACCCATTTGAATCATTGTGGGAATAAGAAACATGACTACGGTAAGAAGCAGATGGACATAGTGGAAAGAACACCAGAATAAAAGTCAGAAGACCTAGGTTCTAGCCCTAATTTTGCAATTTACTAGTTTTGTAACCTTTAATGATATATTTATTAATCACACATTATGTGCAAGGTATTGTACTAGGTTCTTGGGATACTAAGAAGAAAAACAACATAAATCACTTCTGAAATTCAGTTTCCTCGTCTGAAGAATAACGATAATAATGCCCAACCCTTAGCACAATATTCTACACACAGTAGGTTCTTAATACAGTTTTTTTGTTTGCTGTTAATTGCCCTGCATCAGGATTGTAGTGGGACCCAAATAACATAAGAGAATGTGAAAATGTTTTAGAAACTATAAAGCACATCAAAATATGACAGTATTGTCATTTATGTTGTAGGTTAAATGATTTCTCATTAGAATCCATAACCTGGTTTTTAAAGTAAAGTACTTTTTAAGATCCTAGGATTTAGCTCCATTATTGCCATAAGCTCTCAGAGCTGTTTTTCTTTGCAAATTTATAGTACCATCTGCATTTCCTAAGAGGAAAGGTGATGGTAGGGAATTACATGTAAAAACTCAGTTAAATTATTGTGGAGTAAGTTTAGTAGAGCCTAGATATCTCTAATAACATTCTGCATTTACCTTTCACTAAATTAACAGAGCCATTTGAAGTATACTATCATGATAACAGAGGTTACTGCATCTTCCTTGTCTGTGTCTTGGTAAGATTGTTTAGACAGTTACCCATATGGAGTCCCAGAACATCCTGGAAGTCACAGACTATACGCTGGCCTATGGCTTGGTTGGGTTTTTTTTTGGTTTTTTTGGTTTTTTGTTTGTTTTTAGTTCAGTTAATGAAATAATTGCCAAACTTTTTTTGGAGATCTTTAGTTGTATATGACAGTTACTTAAGGAAGAATCATGACAAAATTGTTTTGTGAAAATTATGAAAAATGACTTATTGAAACAATAGACTTTGTGATATGCTCACTTCTCAGGGATTGTGCTAAGTACAATATTTATTAAGTTACTACTCTTTTGAATTAAATCATACCTTTAAAGAATTGTTGAGAACCTTTAGATCTGCATCTCCTACTGTCTTGATAGCTGCAGGCACAGATATGCACACTTGAAAGCATGTGTGCGCGCACACACACACACGTACGTACACACACACACACATACACAACAGTCATGCTCTCATGCAAGAATTCTTAACCTTTTTAAAGTCATGGACACCAGTGGCAGTCTGGTAAACCTCCATGGACCCTTCTTAGAATAATGTTTTTGAATACATAAAATAGGATTACAAAGAAAATCAATTCTATTGAAATAATTATCAAAATATTGAAAAAATAGATACCAAATTAAGAACTCTCTCTTCTAATAGTTCATTGTCATGTGGCAGTGATCCTATACCAAAGGCAGGCCTTATCAAGATGGCAGGACTTCTTATACAACCTAGAGACAGGCTAACTATATATATTCTTCATTTGAGGACTAACCTGTGTAAATACAGAAATATACATCACCAGATTGAGTTAAGGGTGATAAATTTTTTTCAGTCTCAGCAACTCATTAATGATATCTAATAAGCCACAGAAGGGTTGCTATCTGCTTTGGTGATCAGGAGCATCCACACCCAAACTGTAGATCACTGGAATATATTCCCAGACACACGCAAACTTTTGTTGAAAACATATGTTGACAATAACTTAAGACGACTTTTTCACTGCAAATTTATTAACCAAATTCTGCCCCTACACAGTTGTTGTTCTACGTTTTTGTGGGGTTTGCCTAACAAGTTGGCAGGATGACTGTGAATACTACATTCTACTTTGTATTTTAGGCCAGAGAGAAAGAAGAAAGACTTTTAAGGAGACAGGTTAACAGGGAGAGACTTGAAGAAAAACGTAAGCAGAAAGCTGCAGAAAAAACAAAATCTTCAAAAACCAAGAGTCAAGGTACTAAAGATAATTCATTTTTAAGATTTTAATTTTTTTTCCCTTATAGAAAATAGTAGTAGTTTAAAAATATTGTGAAAGGAAAAGAAAGAAGTTCTTTGGCTTTTACCTATGAAAGTTATAGCATAATGAAGCAATGAAATTTATTTTCATGGGAGTTAGTGAGTGTGTCATAGTCATATATCTCTGTCTAACTACACATGTATGTATGTGTATGGATATTTATACATTTATAATTACCTATCTACATACATACATTTTTAAAGTTAATCTTTTAAAGGATGATATTTGATTCTTCTTCCGATCCATTATGGTATGGAGGTGACCTGAAATTCTTAAAAGCTATGTTAATGAAGCATGGGAAATGAAAGTTTCCACTAAGGCTAGAAAGGCTTCAAATATAAGACCAGCAACAGATTTCTCTGTATTGTCCAAAAATCAGCTAAGTGTGGAGTTCCTCATCACCAGCAGGTTGGCCACTGAGTGATGGATTCTTTGGCCATGGCAACTCATTCAGGTGGTACTTCAGTAACATCCTATAAAATGCTTGCTCTTTAGTTAACATGCTTTAAAAAAAAAAAGGTGATTTCTTAATGATTACAAAAGAACTTGGTGAATATCCAGTGAAGCTAGACACTTGGTGTTCACTAATATTATCAAGTTTTGCTTAACGACAGCTAAAATGTGACATTAGACAATCAGGAACATTTTATTAAAATAAACAGAAAATTGCTATTAGCTGTGTACCTGTATATTATTTGTCATTTTGGTCTGATTTTATTGAGCTAGACTGTAAAGCCTTAATTTTAAGTAGTGAAACATTTATTTAGCTTTAGAAATGTGGAAATTGAGAAAGATAGGTTAAGATTTTCAAAAGGTTTTATGTTTAAAATGTAACATAACTTGAAATTGTTATGGCAGTTTCTGCTAAATGGCCTGTATAATTCTGTTCAACTCTTTAAGATTCTATAATGATATTATTATTGACACTTTTATCAATTCTAGATTAATTACAAAGCGTTGATGGAAGATTAATATATTTGACTTTTTAAAAACTGTTTTCTAAAGTTTATGTTGGCTTATCCTAGGCAAAAGTAGTATGGACTTGACGAGTCATCTGGAAAAAATGTGGAATCAAAAACTACCAGAACTAAAGAAGTACTTAAAGAACGAAAAGTTTTAGAAAAAAAAGTAGCTCTAAGTAAAAAACGAAAAAAAGATACAAGGTACATTTTTTTTAAATGTAAAATATATTAACCTTCACAACTGTCATATATTCCCGTGGTACCTCTTCACCTTGTAGCATGTTTCATTGAAGACAGACTTACAGAGTTACAGATTAAGAAAAATACTTTTTAATTTTTATTAACAGTGTTATTCCCTTTAATTTGCATATTGCTAGTATAATTTATGAAGAACCTAAAAGTTTTGCCTTCCTAGTATCACAATGCCCACAAGTAGGGCTTATGTTGTGTCAGTATCTGGGCAAATCTAGTTATTCAATAAAATATTTATTTCAGTAAACCAGTGTTAAGTACCTATACTATTCATGGTTATTGATAATAATAGATTACATTTATGCTTCTATAAATAAAGGATCCAGGATTTCAGAAGTATCAGGTCTCCCTACAGATTGCATTTGCAAGACAAGTATGTGTAAAACCTTGTAAGATAGCAAGTATTATTTGTCCTCATCTTATAGATTAAAAAATTAAGGATCAGAAACATGACTTGCTGCAGCAAGGTAATGCATTGCCAAAATTAAACTTGAGTCCTCTAACTTCAAGTTCAATACTCCTGTTAAACCAACAAGCCTCTTTCCTTAATCTTATCTTTTTACTATTATCTTCTCTTCTTTTTTTTTTAATCCGATTCTCTTTTATTTCTTCTTGGTCATTGTTAGCAATATCCATCATAGCCTAGGTAGAAGAATAGTAAGAAAATAGCTTTACTTGGAATTAGGTATAGGCAAATTTAATGTATTTCACTGATCAGGTTAATCACCACTCTTACTAATCACTGCGCTTCACTTACTTAGGAAGTTTAACATTTAAAAGATTTTAAAATAAATAATTTACCTGTTTTGAATAAATTTTGTGATGGTCAGTTCTAGAGACAAAGAGTACTAAAACATAATCTTTTGTGATTTTATTTGGCTATTCTATTTGGAGAGCCGTTTTGATCTTTGGAGTATTTTACTGTCAGAGAAACTATACAAAATCAATAATAATGTCAGTTTCAATAGGCAATAAAAATAAAAATGGAATTTGGCTAAAAGGAATATACTTAAAAATATATAAAACTTGCTGAGTTAATGTTATTAAAGATCTAAATCAGTAGGGATCGAAAGGTCTCAAGAGTTAATTCCTAATGACTCAAAGGAACAGTGAAGAAGAGGGAGAGAGGCATTGTATAACTAGACCAGTGTGGGTACACAGAGAATTCATCAACCAGTTTATTTTTATTACTTTGTTTTTGTTTTAAGACAGATGTGGAAGATGAATGAATACAAGAGTATTGGAATGGCCCTACAAAAGCTATGTCTCAAGTACTAAAGCTTATATGAGGCCGATGAGAAAGGATAAAAACAGTGAAAGTGTTTTGGATTGTTTTTTAACCTATTTTATTCTTAGAGGATCAGAAAAAATATAAGAGTTGTTTGGAATGAATGGGACATGATAAGGGATAATGAAAACAGAATTATTAAACTCTTAATTTACTTCTTTTTTCTGCCAAGGAGAATAATCTTTGGAGTAAAAAGAACAGAAGAAAAGTGACCAAGATAAATAGGGAGAAAATGAGGAAGACCTCTAGTTACTGTACACACCCATTGGTAAATTTATAGGACATGGACAATTGTCATATCAGATGGAAAGGCATTGATGGTTTGCAGTTTACAACATTTGAGGGAACAATCAGGTTGAGATCACAGATCCATTTTTGTATTTGAGTGAGGGAGATAGCAAGAGAGCACTTATTCTTTATTAGTTAATGTCACAAGCCTCCATGTCCCAGAGGGTATATGGAAGAAAAATGTCAGTAATCCTTGAAAGGTCATAGTGAATGGGAGATGTGCCACAGGACTGGAGAAGGGCAAGTGCCCTGGTTTTCAAAAAAGGAAAGAAGGAGGATCCTACATTGCCAGTGAAGCTGACTGCAATTCCAGGCAAAAATCTAAAACGTATTATTAAAAAGATATTTAGTGATCATCTAGAAAAGGAAGGTGGTAATCACAAACATCTAACAAGAACAGATATCAGACTCATTTCATTTCCATTTTTATCAAGGTTATTAGACTCATAGATCACAGGAATGTTGTAGATATAATTTCTCTAGATTTTGCAGAGCACTTGGCAAAGTCTGTAATGAAATTTCCATGGACAGGTTGATGAAATGAGGACTAGTTCAGTTAGATTGATTTGGGACTGAATAGCCAGAGCCAAAAAGTAGGTATTATTGGCTTCATATAAGGTTTTTTGTTTAAAAGGTCTATGGTAGACCCAGGTATCTCCTTGAGTCTGTGCTTTTATATATTTTTCTTAATTATTTCTATAAAAACATAGCATGTTTTGGGATGCATGACATTTCAGATGCCATGAAGCTGAAAAATAGTTAATACATTGGATGACAGTGTTAAGATCCAAAGAGAGCTTGACTGGATCTTAGAACTGAATCTAACAGAAGAGATTTACTATGATGTCTTATACGTTGATTCAGAAAACCGATTTCACAAGTACATGTTGGAATAGGCATGCCTTGATGTCAGTTTGTCTGAAAATAATCTATGGATTTAGTAGCCTACAAGCTCAATATAAGGCAGTAGGTGGTCTGAAATAAGACCAAAACTCTACTGTTATTGTGGACTTAGTTAAGAAAGAAGGCATAGTGTCCAGCACTAGAGAGCTGATAGTCCTGTTTTTCCTGGTCAGAACATATGTGAAATTCTATGTTTAGTTATCAGGCCTTCCACAACAAAGAACATTGTTATGCTGAATAGCATCCAGAGGAGGACGGCCAGAATGGTGAAAGGACATGAGATGAGGCCATATGAAAATGGCTAAAGGTATTTTGTCTAGAGAAAACAGTACTGATGACAAAACTGTCATCCAGCCAGGCCTTTCAAGTATTTGAAGGGTTGTCCTGTGGAAGATAGATTTGATGATTCTGCTTCATTTCAGAAGGCTGAACTTACAACAATAGCTGAGGCAAATTGAGGCTCAGTATAAATCTTCCTAAAAATTAGAGCTATACAAAACTGGAATGGATTATCTTATAAGATAATAGAAGAAATCTTCAGAAAAGGCTTTTGATGAACATCAATCTTTGTGTTGAAGGGAATCTTGTTCAGATGTGAATTAGACTAAATTGCTTCTGAGGCCCCTTCATGCATTGAGATTCTGTGGTCTGGTATGTTTAATGTCTGCTATCTAGCCTCTCCCAATCTGGATAATTGGTCTGGTTTCATTTTATTTTTTTAAACAACCCTGTGAGGTACAGCTATGACAGGCATAATTTGTCACCATTTTACAGATGAGGAAAATAAGGCTTAGAGAAGTTAAATGATTTGCAGAAGTATGAACTAAAACTTGAAGTTACATTTCTGGCCTTTAATTTCAGAGCTTTTTAACTTTGTCATGCTGTTTGCCATCCTAGCAGTACTTGAAATAGCAGAGGTGCTATTTTAGGTGTAACCAGTCTAGCAATAATTTTGTAAATCGTAGTTGTTTAGGTTGCAATAACTCTTAAGAAATTTTTATCTGTAAATTGATTCAACTAGATTAATATTTATCATTTCACTACATTTATCATTTCAATACTTAGGCATACTGATGATTATTCTAAAAAGAAGAATTCTGAAGAAGACCCCAAAGAATCACTAAAAATAAATGAGGTATGTTATAACCCTTTAAGGCTTCTTTTTAATACCCTGTTTTAAAAAAACAACTTTGGGGAGAAAACTAGTGTGACACTCCTTTGTAAGTTAAAATTTTTTCCTATTAAGCTGTTTCCTCAGGAAACCATGTTGAGTGTATCTTCATGGTGTTGGGTTTTTTCTTTATTTTTTTTTTTACTTCTACTGTTTCCTGGTTTTTAGTAGATACTTATAGTGTTTTGTTTGTAATGATGTAACTAAAATGTCATAAACTTCCAAAAGGAAAAGAGTTTCAACAATTACTCGTCTTTCTTGTATATAGTAAGACAGAAGTTTAACCCATGCCCAGTAAATTGAAATATTGTTCTTTGTGTAAAGATCAATGCAGCATCTTTACTCTCTTGCAAATATTTATTACTGTGTTGTTTAATGTTTGTTATATCATTTTGTTAAAATTGAATTCTAAGTTCTTTAAAGAAAGTAATACTTTGACTAGAAATTATGTAATATAAATTATTCAAATGAGATCAAATTAATTTCAAGATTTTGATAATAAAGGATGAAATTTACTTTTGTTCTGCCTCTAAGATGTCAGCAAGTGTTTATTAAACCCCAGTAATACTTGTAAAAGCAAATGAGTCGGGGGCAACTAGGTGGTGCAGTGGATACGGCACTGGCCCTGGAGTAAGAAGGACCTGAGTTCAGATCCGGCCTCAGACATTTACTGCTGTGTGCCCCTGGGCAAATCACTTAACCCCATTGCCTAGCCAAAAAAAAAAAATGAACAAAAAAACCCAAATGAGTGATATGCAAAAAATCACAAGGGCACAGGTATTTTTATGAATGTTGTTTTAACACAGGAGACACTGCCCAACAAACATGTGAATGATACCTTGCCACCTCCCACCCCACATTGTTTTGTTCCCAAAACTTGGTTAGAGAGGAGTTTAAAAAAAAAACACACACAAGTAAAGCACTGGTGAATTAGGGAGTTGGGGGTAAGGAAGGGATTTCAGTCTGTGTTAGTGGAAGGAGTATCCAGACAAATGAAATCATAGATCCTTGGAATATTGATGTAAATAAGTAAAATCTTTAAAAAGCACTAAAGGGTTAATTTTGTAAAATGAATGGATTTTGTGAGTTTTTAAAAATTAAAATTATGAAAGGCCATTTAATAATTATATCTGTGTGTCCTTAAAAAAAAGGAGTTAGTATTTTAAGAGAGAAAAGAATTCTTCTAAAAGACTTTAAGATACTCTATGAAACAAATGAATCTTAACTGTTTATTAAACCAAGCCTGCTCCCAAATTTCTAGCACTTAAAAAAGGAATTAGTTTGCCTTTTAATCTATATTTGAATTATATTGAAATGAATTTTCTTCAATTAAGATGTCTTACCATTTCATTGAATTCAACAATCATTCTAGGGAAACAAAACCAAAACAGTCCCTGTGCCACCAGTGAGAAATAATACAGGACTATATATCTAAAGCTGGACAGGACTTCATAGGCCATTTAATCTCACCCCTCATTTTACAGATGAGGAAACTGAGCCTGAGAGAAATTAAGTGAGTTGCCCAGGATCACACAGGTTGTAAGTAATATGTACCAACATAAGTAAATGAAAGATAAACATATAGATAGATAAGTTGATTGATTGATTGACTCAGATGTGAAAAGAGTATTAACAGCTGGGAGCAAGGAAGAATACTTGCAAATAGACAAATTAACAAATGAAGTAGCACAATGGATAGAGTTCTGAGCCTGGAGTTGAGAAGACCTGAGTTCAAATCCAGCCTCAGACACTTACTAGCTGTTTGACCCTGGGCAATTCATTTAACTTCTGTTTGCCTCAATTTCCTTATCTGTAAAGTGGCACATAATAAGGGCTAAGTAAATGTTGGCTATTATTATAATACAAGTTTGTGTTTTAATCATAACTGATATTTATATTGCACTTTAAAGTTTGCAAGATTTACGTGTGTATATGTATAAATATGCATCTATATGTATATATGTGTATATGGGCATATACATATATATGCAGTGAAAGAGAGACTATGAATATACACAGATACACACATAGAAAATCCTAATTGAGCTTCAAAACAGTCTTTCAAGGTAGGGACTACCGGTATTCCAATTTTAAAGATGTCCACTACACCAAAATGCTTCTCTGATTTGGAGAATTCAGGATTAAAATCTATAGTCTTTTAAGTCAGTATGAATTAGCTGTTGTCATCATTACATTACATTGTTTTAGTGACTTAAAATCATAAATATCAACTCCCTAAATGAAATATGTTACATGAAAAAGAAAAGGCATTTTTTAAAGTGTCTGATACATTGTTTTTCTTTTTATAGCATTGTGAAAAGGTATCCTCTTCAAAGGAATTGAAGCACATTTATACAAAAAGTGACCCAAGCAAACCTGCCCGAAGACTTTCTGAGTCATTACATTCAGCTGATGAAAACAAAAGTGAATCCAAAATGGAAAAGGAACAGAAAAGACGGACATCTGCCTCCTTTCCAATGGAAGGAGCACAGCAAGACACTGACATAAGAGATGCTAAAAAACATTTGGAAAAATCAGAAGTGAATGTTGAAGAAATTCAGAAGCAAAAAAGTACACTTAAAAATGAAAAGCATCCTAAGAAAGATGATTCTGAAACACATTTAAAAAATATACCCAAGAAGGAAGTGAGATCAAACAGAGAAAAGGCTGAAAAGGAGAAAACTATATCAGAAGATAAATTATCTACAAAACATAAATATAAAGTAGACATTCTACATAAAACAGGCGATGAGACTGAACTCCATGCTTCTGAGAAAGTCTTGAAAGGAGATGAGAGTTTTCAAAAGCAAAGTCAACAACCAAAGATTTCTTCTGATGATAAATCTGACAAAAAAAGTAAACATAAGAATGAACGGAAAATATCAGTATTTAGCAAAGATGGAAAAACAGTTTCTGAGTATACTATAAAAACTGATGAAACTGTACGTAAGGAAAATAGCAAAAAAGATAGACATATTTCAGCTGAAAAAGTTAAATCAGAGCACAAGTCAAGAAGATCAAGTGATTCTAAAGTTCAGAAAGACTCTCAAAGTTCCAAACAGCATAATTACACAACTCAGAAGAAAAATGAAAATTATTTAGAAGATAAATGTGATATGGAATCAACTAATTCAGATAGTAATTTGAAAACAGAAGATGTTCACAAGGAGCGAAGAAGAACAAAGAGCTTAGTTAAAGATAGATTTTTATTAAAGTCTAAATCAAAAAGTCATAACAAGCCATCGAAAGCAAATGAAACAGAATTACAAGAAAGTGTCACAAAACAAGCTACTCAAAGCCTGAAAAAGAAAAAATCTTAGACGAAAGTGACACCGATAAACAGCGTAAACTCAAAAGTGATGATAAAATTCTAGAGGAAACTAGTGTTGAATCTGAACTTGAAAGCACTTCCTCATCTATACATGGCTCCCTGAAAGATGCTAGTCACAAAATTAAATTACCATTGGGAGAAAAGGCATTGACAAAAGAAAAACATAAGAGTGATAAAGATTTGAGTTCTAGGCTTGAAAGAAAATTATCAGAAGGACACAAAAGTAAGAGCTCAAAGCATAGTAGTAAGGAAATTAAAAAGAGGGAAGAAAGCAAGTCAGATGAAAAGGATGGTAAAGAAATTGAAAATAATCATGAAAAGGCTAAGAGCAATAGTTTAGTCATGGAAAAGAAATTAAGTAGAAGGCTATGTGAAAGTCGAAGAGGAAGTTTATCATCACAAGAATCAACCAAAGGAGAGGAAAAGTTATCAACAGACAATATTCCCTCTCTTCAGAAACCAAAAAAGAGTGGTGATAACTTATTAATTCCTGGGCAGGAGCCAATGGAAGTTGATACAGAGCAAATCTTTGTAAATGTTCTTGAAGTCTCTAAAAACCAAGACAAAAGCAGCATTAGCTCAGGGCAAGAAATTGGATCTGAAAACATTGTAAAAGTTAAAACTTCACTCCTAGTTCCAGGTGATGAATTAAGAACCATCACGAATGATCTAAACTCAATAGATTCCACCTTTAAATCAGAACATCAGTCAACATCTGGCAGTAATTCTGAAAAGAATATTAAACATGAAAATACCCTTGTTAAGAAAATAAATATTCCAGGCCTTATATCCAAGCAAAATTCTGAAGAGAGAGATTCCATTCAGCAAGAAGCACATCAAGTGGGTAAAGACCCTGAAATCAGTCATGGAATTTTGCAAAATGTCCCTTCAGAAAATACTGACACACAGAAGAATTTTACAAGCATAACCAAACCCAGTGAGGAAAGTGTTACTCCATTACTCAGTTCTTCCACTAAAGAACCAACCCTTAAACATTCCATAAACACAAACTCCTCACAGTGCTTAGTTTCTGCAGCTGGTGTACCTGAAAAAGACTTTCATAATTTAGATAGAAGTTCTTTAGCTGAGGAAAGAACTGTTTTGGAATGTGAAACAGCAAGCACTTCATGCATACGCCACTCTGCTGTCTTGGGGACAAGTTTGAATATGAAGGAATCCGAAACCACTGAGTTGAGTAGCAGCAACATAGAACGTGATGACAGTTCTTTCACAAGTCAGCCAACAAGAGAAAACAGTGCTACCATTGAACACATTAAAGAAAGTGATCAAGGAACTACATTAGACAGTGAACAAGAAAAAGAAAAGCACACAGTGTCTCGAGATAACTTGAAAACTGACATGATTATAAACAATGAGGATGTTAACATGACAGAATTTGTCTTGACACAATCTGATAAGGAAAATGATGACATAATTCTAGACACTAGTTTGGAACAGGATGTGAATGCTGTTGTAGATACTGGCAAGAAAGAAGGATGTGATGCTGATTTTATAATAGAGCCTACTATAGAAAAAGATACTAGAAGTGTTACAGCTACAGAAAATACAAGCATAAACAGTCTAATTGTGAGAAGAGTAGAAGAAGCTGAAAATGTGATAACTGATGTTAAAGGAAGGAATGAAAATAGTGAGGTAGGCACCAGTGCAGGAGGTAATGGATTCATTCCTCTACACCAAAGAAAAGAAACAACTAAAATCACTATAGTAGGGATTAATAAAGTGGAAAAGGTTGCTGTTGCCACCAGTACTGAAGAAAAAAGTGAAGCAGTTATCATAGACTCAGTAAAGGCAGGTGATGCCACAGCAACTTCCACAGACAGAGAAGAAAGTGAGGTCACTGTATTTTGTACAAGTATTGAGGCAGATGAAGGCTTTGTAACAGGTATATGCACTGCAGATAATCATGTTCCTATTGGAACAGAAGCTAACGAATGTACTGTTGTTGCAGCAGCTGAAGAAGGCGGTGGTGTCACTGAAGGATTTGCTGAAAGTGAAACTTTACTCACTAGTACTAAGGAAGGAGAAAGTGGGGAATGCACAGATGCAGAAGAAAGAGATAAAGACTCTGGCAGAGCTCATACAGTAAAAATGGAGGCTAATGTAAATAGTGCTGAGACAGAAGAGAAAGATGATGCTGTTACAAGTGCAGGCTCAGAAGAGAAACGTAATGGTTCCTCAAGCAGAAATTCAAGAGTAGTTGAAGGTACTGTTACTTGTATAGGTGAAGTAGAAAGTGATGGAGCTGTAACAAGTGCAGGTACAGAAGTAACAGAGGGATCTTTAAGTAGTCAAGATGTAGATGACTTCCAGAGAAATATGACCAGAACAGGTCCCCAAAAAGAAACTGAGGGTACTGTGACTTGTACAGGACTGGAAGGAAGAAGTGATAACTTCATTATTTGCTCAGTGACTGATACAGAGGCACAGGATGAGAGTATGGTTACTGGTGCTGGTGTAACAGTAGTAGATGATGATGCCACAATTGGTGTAAGTGCCAACCAAGAAGGTGAAGATTCTGTAAATGATGGTACAGAAGGTGAAAGTGCAGTCACTAGCACAGGAATAACAGAAGAAGGAGAGGGGGCGGCAAGTTGTACAGGATCTGAAGATAGCAGTGAAGGCTTCCCAATAAGCTCTGAATCAGAAGAAAACGGAGAGAGTACAATGGATAGTACAGTGGCCAAAGAAGTCACAAATATCACACTAATTGCTGTTGGTCCATGTGATGATGAGGGCATTGTGACCAGCACAGGTGCAAAAGAAGAAGATGAAGAGGATGAGGGTATTGTTACTAGTACAGGCAGAGGAAATGAAGTTGGGAATACTTTAACTTGCACAGGAATAGAGGAAGAGGTTGAAGGTGCACTGACTTGTCTAAGTGCTGAAGAAGGTGAGAACTTGATGGTCTGTACTGTTATTGAGCATGTTGAAGCTGAAGCGGGCATGGCTGTCATAAATACAAATGAAAGTGGGGTTGATAGTATGACTAGTGCAGAAAAAGAAATGAAACATGGAATAATCTTCTGTGGTGCAAAGGAGATTGTTGAAAGCAGTGTGACTAGTGCAATTTCAGAAAAGGCTGACATGGCACTAATCCCAGTGGATACAGAAGAATGTGATGGTCCCATGACCAGCGCAGCTGCAAATAATAATGATAATCACCTCACTGGTGAAGAAAAAGATGAAGATGCCACAATTTCCACTGGCATAGTTGAAAGTGATGAGGTTTTAGTATCTGAAACAGTCCCAGAATATGAAGTTGAACACATTCTTCCAGCAAGTGAAAACGATGATGATCTTTCCATTGTGGCCAATGAGAATAACAAAAATCAGAGTATTTCCGCTGGTAGTGAAAGCAAGAGTAAAGGTTTGATGATTTCTACCAGCACTTCAGATGAATATTGTATCCCTTTACTAAGTACAGTTGCAGAAGGTAATGAAAGTCATTGTAGTACTGCAAGAATCAAAGAAAATGATGGGATTGCTGTAGAACTTGAAGAATTTGAAGCACCAATGCCCAGTGCAGTTATAGAAGATCAAAGTCAGCTTTCTGCTTCAGGAAAAGCAGAAAAGGATGAGTGTGCTATGATTTCTACAAGCATAGTGGAGGAGTTTGATGCACCTATGTCCAGTGCAGCTATTGAAAATTATGAGGTTGAGCACCCTATTGCCACAGCTGAAGAAAGAAAGGAAAACATCATTTCTGTAGCTGCCGAAGATTATGAGGCACCTATGTCCAGTGCAACCACAGAACTTGAAAGGCAGCTTGCTTCTACTAGCAAAGATGAAAAAGATGAATGTGCACTAATCTCTACAAGTATAACAGAAGAATGTGAGGGGCCTGTTTCTAGTGATGTTGTTGAAAGGGAAAATGAACATCCTGCCACAATAATAGAAGAAAAAGATGGGAGTGCTCTAATCTCTACCAGCTCAGGGGAAGACTGTGAGGGACCAGTGTCCAGTGCAGTCCCAGAGAACAAAGATCATCCCTCTGCCAGTACAGTGGAAGAAATCAATGATACTTCCATGATCTCTACAAGCACTACAGAAGAATGTGAGGTAGTCATGACCAGCACAGTCCCACGGAATGAGGATAGACTTACTCCCACGTTAGCTGAAGAAATAAATGATGGTGCCATCATCTCCACAAGCACAACTGAGGAATACATAGTGGTTGTGACTAGCCTAGACAAACAGGAAATGAGTCACCCTGCTGCAGTAGGTGCTGAAGAAAATGAGAGCTCTTTTGTGGTATCACCTGAAAAAGTAAGGGAATGTGAAGATCCCATGCCAAGCATAGGTCCTGAAAATGATGACTCTCAAAGTCCTAGGGCAGGTGTAAAAGAAAAAGAGACTAGCTCAGTGATACCAGTAAACTCTGTAGAAGAATATGAAGGTTCTTCAGATAATGAACTCACACAAGAAGAAAAAAATAATAGCTCCTTCAGCACTGTAAATATAGAAGACAAAAGTATTCATGATGGAGAAAGGGAAGTTGGAAATGGTGCTGCGACAAGCAGTTCAATAAAGAATACCTCAACCATTATTACAGAAACAATTCAGAACTCACTAGTGAATCAGAGCAGAGATAAAGAAATGTCTGAGGATATGACTAAAGACTCTATAGTCAGTATTTTTTCTTCTGCAGCAGTAAATGTCAGTACTGAAAAAGCTGAAGATGTGCCAGATGCCAAAGAAGTAACAGCAGAGCTTTCTGGTATTCCTTTTGAGGAAGTAAAGCATAGCGACTACTTGAAAACTGAAAACCCTGAGTGTATTAGTGACCTAGGGTCAGAAATTATTCTTTCTAAACCCAGGATTTCTCCTTGTGGTGAACAGGCCCCTCTGTTAGCCCCTAAATGGGATAACAATGTAACTATAAATAATGATCTCAATGCTGAACTAATTTTTGAAGCTACAGTAGAAAAAAATAGTGACCACGATGGCATAAAGAACTTAGTTAAGGTGGAAGAAAACCTTGGAATTGACATTTCTTCTATAGAAGATGTGAATGATACAGGTAAGAATTTATTTTTTGATTATGGTAAAGATGTTGCCTTAGGTAGATGGTGGTTAAATGACTGTACCAGTCAGTTTAAAAGTGTAAGCAGAAATCAAACCCAGGTCTCCCTGACTCTGAGCCCAGCACTCTATCCACTAGGGCAACTACTTTTTAAAATATAACTTGAACTTTGCTATAGTTTTTGTTTGATCATTTAGCTAAGATACATAATGCTTTACAAAACATACCAAACAGACAGTAGGTGGCCATTTGAAATCATAATATTAACGATTTAAGTCAAGAGACCTAGTCTGATCTTCCACTAATAGACTGTATAAATTTAGGCAAATTAATGTCTAATTCCTCATTTCCTCTTATGTAAAATGATAGGATTAAATGAGAAGATCCTTAAGGTCCTTTGTGATGTTGTCTAACATTCTATGATTCTCAGTACTAACTGAGTTACACTGGGTGAGTCACTTTTGTTCTCTGATTATTAGTTTCCTCATTTCTAAAATGGAAATAATAACACCTACTTCATAGGGCTCTTGTGAGGATCAAATGAGGTGATGTATGTCCTGCACTTTGAAAACTTTATAGAGTTAGGAGTGTCAGTTGTTAATTGCATGGCTAACCTCCAGTTATATAATAAAGTAGTTCTGTTTCATCAGTTTTGAATGTCAAGCTGTATAACAGTTTCCAAAATTAAAATTCTTAATAGCTCTTTCAGTGCTCTTGTAAATAGAGGCTTGAGACAGAAGTGGGCCTAAAAATTATATCAACCCTATTTCTCAGTGGTGACTGGTTCAAAGCACTGTCCTTGGAATCTAAAAGACCTAGCTCAAGTTATAACTGCTATGCTCTAAATATGTAACCTTAGGCAAATCCTTAGCCTCTCTGTAAAATAACTCCTGCTCTGCCTGCCTTATGGTTGTTGTGACAATCAAATTAGATCTGGCTACAAAAAAACATTTTATAGAATACAAAGCTTCTTTACTTGAAGTGGGATGGGGAAGGAATTGGATGTAGCAATAATTATCGTTCAAAAAAAAAGTGCCATTGGAACATTTTAAAGAGAACAGAAGGGAGCAAAAACAAACAAGACAGTTTTAAAACTAATGTAGAATTCATCACCATTTGTCCTAAAGCAAGCATTTCTTATACAGTCTCTTTTTTTGTATATGCTGTATATATAGAAATGTTCCTTTTTTGGTGTAGACAGAACAAAAAAATAAAACTTTTTTTTTGGACTGAGAAAAGACCATCGTATCTGCTAGGTGGTAACTTGAAAAAAACCATTTCAGTTAATTGATATTAGAAGCCAGATTGCAAAGGCTGGGGGAGGCTTATTTTTACAAAGGTTTTTTTTTTTTCATATATTTAAAAGCAGTAAGGAAGGAGTGAGTAGATAGGAAGAGATTGAAGGTTAGAGATGATTGAAGGAACTGTCTGCTCAAGGAGACTGGAAAGAATCATATCAAAGGCACATATAGAGTAGTTGGATGGTAAATTTTAAGATTAAAAAAGGGGGGAAGTAGAGAAGACAGCAAATAGCCTTGGTTTGCTTAGTAAAGAAGTAAAATAAAGTTACATGAGGACGAGATCCTCAGCTGAGAGAATAAAATACAAACTCCTCTCTTTGGCTTTTAAAGCCCTTTACAATGTAACTGTGGCCTACCTTTCTAGGCTTATATGTATTACTCTTGTTTACTCATTTTGTCCAGTAACTTCCCCTATATATGACAGGTTCTGTCCCGTCTCCAGCTAGATGGTACAGTGAATAGAACGTTGGACCTAGAATTGGGAAGACCTGAGTTCAAATGTAGCCTCACTGTGTGCCCCTGGAAAAGTAACTTGAACTCTGTTAGCCTCAGTTTCACCCTCTGTAGAATGGGGATAATAATAGTACCTACTGCTTGGGTTTGTTGTGAGGATAAAACAACATAGTGTTTATAAGGTATTTTGTAAACTTTAAAGTGCTATATAAATGTTAGCTATTGTTATACTGTTGCACAGGCTGTCTGCCAGGCCTAAAATGTTCTTTCCTGACCTCCACCTCTTAGAACTTGAAGTTGGCAACCTTCAAGGCTCAGCTCAGATGCCATCTCCTTCAGTAGGCTATTCATGATTCCTCTAGTTGGTAGTTCTCCAAAACCTTGCCAAGTTGCTGTTTATGTATTTTGATATATGCTGAGTTTATTTATCTGTGAAAATGTTCTATCTCACAAAATTAGAATCTAAGTTCCTTAAGCATAAAGGTTATGTCATTTTTGTATTTGTGTCCTCTGCACCTAGCACACTACCTGGCACATACTAGATTAATTCTCTTTATAACAAATCATAACTAGTGCTATTTACTTACAAATGGTTACAGAATCATCCCTTGCCATACTTAAGATGCAAAGTAAAATCTCAATAATTTGTACCATTGAAAGCAAAGATAACCTAAATTATAGATTTCTTTTTAAGGAGATAAAACTTTATGAATTACAGTTACCATAAAGTAATACTGTTTCTTAGGCAGTTTGTTTTAATGAATGGTTATGGGTGATTTGTAAGTAGCACGGTAATTGTGAGTATTTCTGAAGTGTTGGAAGCAGTTTTCTTCAACTGCCTTAAACTGAAACCTTGTTTACACTCTTCTCTTCCTAGAAAATCCCTTCTTTTCATAATTCATTGATATACCTAATCCTAAACTTTGTCTTAATTAGTAGGATCTTAGTTAATAAAGATTTCCTACATTTATGTAAAGATGAATTTAGTTGGTTCCTTTTAATCATCTTGCATATTCAGAAAAACTTAGTTTAATGGTAAGTTAAAATGAATGAAATTTTTTGTTATAGTAGTTCACATGAAAGTGAGAGAAAATAAGTTGTAAATTAATTCCACTGCCATTTTCTCATAGACTGTCTAGAAACTTCTGACCTTTGGAAATTATTTCCCCTTGCATAACTCCCATTAGTATTGCTCTAGACATAAAAAGTGTAGTTAAATTTTAGGATTGGAAGGAACCTTTTAGGTCACGTAGACTAACTCTTCCATTTTGCACTTGAGGAAATTGAAGCCCTGAAATTTACTATGGATAGCTCTCATTATCTGTGGCCTAATTTTCAAAGACATCCTTATGCCAAGTATGATTTGGAAAAGAAATTCAGAGCATGTTACTTTAAAATATATTTATGGATGTAGCATTGTATAGTGAAAAGAACCAGTGGAGTTGAAGTCAAGAGACCTAGGTTTAAATGCCATCTTACTAGCTATATGACCTTGTACAAATTACTTAAAGGCCCTAAGTTTCAGTCTTCATCTGTAAAAGTGATACAGTTATGTTTACCTAGTACCCACCAACTTCACAAAGACTTTGTGAAGAAAGCATTTTGTAAAGTATTAGATAAATATGAGCATTAGTATTTTCACCCCATGTTTTTCTTTTTAAATAGTTTGTATCAGAGCAAAAGACAACTAAGCAAATTTGTATTTGCCTACTGACATAACTTATCTGCTTTTATTTTTTTCATAAAATATTTCAGAATTAAATTCTTAAATTGGTTTAATATTTTCTATTTCATTAGGCAGTAGAGAGACTCTACCAAATGTTTTGGAAGGATTAGAACAGAAAACTAACTTGGAAACTGAGGTATGGCTGGGGATTCTATTATTCTGAATAATAATAGTGTAACATTTTTTGCCATATACCAAATTGGTCCAAATATAGATTATTCCCCATAAAATAAAATATATTTGAAAGAGGAAAAAAAAGTTGCAGTATATATTGAAGATAATTACATAAAATTACCATGTTAACAAAATATGTATTGTGAAAATTGGATAATTGAGAGGCATAAGAGCAATGCATATGCTTAGAAGCTACTTCTTAGGGACTAAAATGTCCATACCCTTTGACATAGAGATTTCTCTGCTAATTATATATCCCAGGAAGTGACAAACAAAAAGAAAGGCTTCATATATGCCAAAATAATTATAGTAGCATTTTTTCTGGTAGCAAAGAATTGAAAACAAAGTAGATACCTATTGATTGGGCGATGGCTAAACAAATTGTGGTACACAAGTGTATTGAAATAGTACTATGCTATTAAGAACATATACACACACACACACAATAAATATAGAAAAGCAAGGAAAGACTGATGCTAAATGAAGTAAGAAGAGCCAGGAAAATATCTGCGAAATGCACAAACATAAAATATTTAGACTTCAGTAATGTAAGTGGAAAGAAGTTGCCACACGTTTGGAAATAAATGTTACAAAATTACAAACAAGCTTAACCCCAAAAAAGACATAAGAAGACCTCAACCCTACAAAACTTGATAGAAGTAGGGAATCTGTAAGTGTGGAACACTGCATATGCTGAGTTTTCCTAGATTTTTTTTTCTTTTCCTCTTTTATCTTTTTTCTTTTAAAAAAATCTTTATATCGGGTGGCTCTTTGTATAGGGCAAGTGTAAAGGATCAAAAGATGATTAAAAATACAAAAGCTGTCATTGTTGTTTGTGAGGAGGGGCGTTTCTAAGCTACCCGTCATCAGGGCTAACAGCAAAAGGATCTTAGGATCTGCCCCATTGGATGGTGCTCTTAATAATGCAACTTACATAAAAGGCAGTGTGATGTGGATAAAAGAACACAATATATAATACAGTTAGTCCCTGCCTCATACCGCAGAAGGCTAGGGGCAAGGCAGACAAAAGCCAGTCAGCGTGATTATGCTGTAAGCTGTATGTTAGGGGAAAGTATAGTCTTTATTTGGACCAATAGGGTGGGTATATGCTTATGTTTAAATAGTACATAACCTCTATCTTTGTTGTACTTAATATTTTTACAGGTAGAAATCATCCTCTCATTGAAATTACCTGTAACAGGAAGCAAAGCTTCCTTTCAGATATAATGTAGCCAAATAATTCAGCATTCCCCAAAATGACAGCTCCCTAAACCGAGTTAGAGTACCATGCCATGATGGGCACTTAGTTGATTTTTAAATGTGTTTAAATTTCTGCACAAGGCCATCCTACACTTGTTAGGGAGTTACTACTCTAAGGCTTAAGCAGAAAATCCTATGTTCCTCTATGGATGAAGGATGGGAAAACAAGGTGAGCAGTTTCTTTCATAATTAAATGTCAGATTTCTTGTGGTTTTTGAAATCAGTATTACCAGCTGCTGGGTTGTTTCTTTTTAATCTGTGTATGTTAAAATAATGAACCAAATATTTGTTGTAAATCATTTTCTGATACTTCAGTGTTCACTACAATTAAGCTGGACTTCTATTTGGGCATTATTTTGCTTTTTATTCAATTTGCATCTCTAGATTGCTGTGCCTTCAGAAGAGGAGAAAAATCAGTATATTTCAAAAATACCAGAAGGCTTTGATGGAGAAGGAGAAAATGGAATAGGTAAATCTCATTGTGATAATAATTGTTTTTTTTTTTTTTAGTTTGTCCTTTTTGATACAGACTTACCCATGGCAGATAAAACTTTCAGGGCACAACAGTATGTATGTTAAATTATGTCTAGCCTACACTTTTGAAATTCAAGGAGAATTACTAAATTCTATCTTCAAAATCTTGTTCTCTTCTTTCAGAACAAGTGTTGGGTAAAGTTACTATTTGAATTTGATATCATGGGTAAAAGGAATGGTGACTTTTCTTTCACAAAATCTTCAACCTGGCCAAAGGTCCAAAACAAGGGTCAGTAATCTACAGCCCAAGGGCTAAATCTGACTCACTAGCCTGAATTTTTGGGAAAGCGAGCTAGGAATGGTTTTTTACATTTTAAAATAGAATAAAACTTTACTAAAAAATGTAAAACCCATTGTTATCTCATTTTACATTTGCCAATCCCAGGTCCAAAAGGTAGAGCTGAAAACAGAACAGATAGGGCAGCTAGGTGGTGCAGTGGATAGAGCACCGGCCCTGGATTCAGGAGGACCTGAGTTCAAATCCGGTCTCAGACATATAATACTAGCTGTGTGACCCTAGGCAAGTCACTTAACCCCATTGCCTAACCAAAAAAACAAAACAAAAAAACCCAGAACAGATTATGCAAATAGCATCTGGAATGAAAACTCAGAATATTCTGCTTATGTTCACTGTATAGAAAAGACCTAATTCTGTATTGATTGCTATTAGCGTTGCCATGCTTGCCATTAGTAATATCTGGGGGTGGGGAGGGTGCTGCAAAAGATGGAAGTATATAGTCATCAAAAACTGCTTAGGTCAAAGTTTAGTATTTTGTTGAAGTTACTTACCAAATTGAGATAATAGTAAAATTTAACTAAGAGATAGAAGTAGCAATGTTGATCAAATTTTAATCTTTTAACCTTTTGATGGTAATAGTTGATAACTGTCCAGTGATTTTTATCAGTGTGGAAAAATTGCAGTGAGAAGATGCTCTACCAATGCAGATGGGTAGCTGTTATGCAAATTAAAGTTAGGAGAGTCAAAAGGGCCCTGAGAGGTTAAGTTGCTTGTATAATAGGGTCATCTCACTAATATGTGTTAGAGGCAGGACTTTAACCTAGGGCTGCCTGACTCTGAAACCAGTTCTCTCTATATACACTACAACATGTGGTTTCACTTACTTGTTGTAAGTGACTCTTTGCTTAACTATTGCTAAGTACCCAGAAAGAGCACTTTTCTTAGAATCAGGAGTTCTGAACTTGAATCCTGGCTCTGACACTTCTTAGCTGGTGTGATTCTATTCACTTATTCTCTTTGGACATCTGTTTCTTTACTTACAAAATGGGATTGATAATACCTAAGCTTTCTATATCCCATGGTTTTAATGAGCCCCTGTGCTGGCCTTAAGGTACCATATAAATGTAAGTTGTTCTTTTCAAGTCAAATCAACAGGCTTTTAAGTGCTTATTCTGGGCCTGGTACTGGGCTAAGTGATAGGAATACAAATAGAGGCAGAAAGACACCCCTACCTTCATGGAGCTTACATTCTAATGGGGGAATACAACACACCAAAGGAAGCTGGAAAGGAATCCAGAGAATAAGGAGTAGAGAACAAAGAACACATGGCCAGCTTGGTCACTTTCCTTAATGGAGGTTCTGAGAGGAATCATCCCTTCAGACGAAGGGGCACCAGGAGTAGAGGGAACTTCATGAAGGCACTGTTTTTGCCTAGTAGACAAAGTCAGTAAAATCAGGAGGGGAACACAGAAGAATTATCTTAATTTTATATTACAACACAGAATCTCTTCAGAAAGCATTTATTAAGCACTTAGTGTGTATATGCTAGAGGCTATGGATAGAAAAAACAAAAATGAAATCACCCTTCTGAAGAAGTTTACATTCTATTGGGAAAACAACATGCATATTGAAAATGAAATACAGAATATATACAGAATAATTTCAGAAAAGAGAGAATTCAGATAGACTTCTAGTAGGAAAAGACTCAGGAGTGAGCTTTGAAGGAAGCTAAGGATTCCATGAAAGGAGACAGCATTGGAGACAGCCTGTGGAAAGGCATGGAGACTAGAAAAGGAATATCATATACAGGGAATAGCAAGTCTAATTTGGCTGCACCAGAGTACATGAAGAAAAGATATACCCATAATATTTGTCTATACATATATACACTTAAATATATGTGTGTATGTATGTATAATATTGCTTATATATACTTAACACATAACTGTATTATATATTTATACATACATACATTTGATATGGTAAAGCCTGTGCTTTAGGAATATCAATTTGGCAGCAGTGTGGAGCATGGATTTGAAAAAGGAGAGAATGGCTACAGGGAGATCAGTTAGGAAGTTATTGCAATAGTTGATTCAAAATATGTTAAGGACCTGATCTAAAGCAAGAGGCTAGATAAGTTAGAGTGAAAGGGGCAGAGGTAAGAGATGTTAAGGAAGTAAAATTAACAAGACTTAGCAACTCTTAGAATGTGAGGAGTGGCGTAGAGGGAAGAGTCGCAATAGTCTCTTTGGTTGTCAACTTAGATGACTAGAAGGGTAGTTTCAACAGAAATAAAGGAGTTAGGCAGAGAGCTTTTTTTCCAAGGAACAAGCATCTTTTAATTTCATGGCTGCAATTGCCATCTGCAGTGATCATTGAGCCCAAGAATATAAAATCTGATACTACTTCCATTTCTCCTCCCTGTGCTTGCCAGGAACTGATGGGCCATTTGCCAAGTTCTTGGGGTTTTTTATGTTAAGCTTCAAGCCAGCTTTTACACTCTCCTCTTTCACGCTCATCAAGAGGCTTCTTAATTCCTCTGCATTTTCTGCCGTCAGAATGGCATCATCTGCATATCTGAGATTGTTGGCATTTCTCCCAGAAACCTTAATTCCAGCTTTTGATTCATCCATGCTGGTATTTTTGCATTATGTGCTCTGCATGTAAGTTAAATAAGTTGACGATATATAGCCTCATCTTAGTCCTTTTAAACCAATCAGTTGTTCCATGTTTGGTTCTAAAACCAATCAGTTGTTCCATGTTTGGTTCTAACTGTTGCTTCTTGGCCCATACAAAGCAAGATGATCTGGTTCTTCCATCTCTCTGAAGACTTGCCACATTTTATTGTGATCCACATAGTCAGAAGCATTAGTGTAGTCAGTGAAGCAGAAGTAGATGTTTTTCTGGAACTTCCTTGCTTTCTTCACAAACCAGTAAATGTTGGCAATTTAGTTTCTAGTTCCTCTGTCTCTACAAAAACTGTTCGGGTTATTCTTGGTTCACATATTGTTGAAGCCTAGCTTTCAGAATCTTAAACATAACCTTGCTGCTATGTGAGATGAACACAGTTCTTCAGTAATGAACATTCCTTGGCATTGTCCTTCTTTGGGATTGGGATGGAAACTGATCTCTACCAATCCAGTGGCCACTGATGAGTTTTCCAAGTTGGCTGGCATATTGAGTGCAGCACTTTAACGTCATCATCTTTTAGAATTTTAAACAGTTCAGCTGTCATTCAGTCATCTCCACCAGTTTTACTGTATGCTTCCTAAGGCTCATTTGATTTCATTCTCCAGAATGTCTGGCTCTAGATCAGTAACCATTGTGTGATTATCAGTGATATTAAGATCTTTCTTGTATAATATTTTAACTTATAAAAGTAGTGATGCTATTAAAATATTATCTACTAGAGAAGGAAGAAGTACAGAAGGGATGCTTAGACACACTCAAAAGCAAAAGAAAAAAATTATAAAAAACTTTGGATTGGTTAACTTAGATGTTACCAAGTTGTAACAGCAACAATAATAGTACTTTTTTACCTACCAGTACAGTAGTTTGCAGCACATTAAGTATACAAAATAATAAGATAGCAACTTGTCCCAAGACAATTTCTGTCTCAGTTATGTTGGAAAAAAGAGCAGGGTCATAATGTTATCTTTAAGCTGTTTGTATAACACTTTAAAGTTTACATAGCAATTGCATATCCATCATCTCATTTGATCCTCACAACATCCATTGAAATAGGTAGGGCAGGTATTATTTTTTTATTTCCTTTCTTAAAGTACATATTAAATTTCACACAATATTAATGTTAAGATAGGTATTATACCTATTTTACAGATTAAAGAACCTGAGTTATGTTGGCTATAGAAAAATTAAACGATTTGCTGAAAGTCAGATGTACATATTAAATGAAAGAACAAGGAATCCATATCATAATCTCACATAGATGGAGTAATTCAGCAGTTGACCCTAAGGATAGTCAGATAAGTACTTTGTGGCTTAACATTTCCTCTAGAAAATGGAGATTAGTAGCAAGTACTTTTGAGCACCCATAACTCTACCTGACATTACTATGCTATTAGCCAAAGGGAATACAAGAGGAATATAAGACATAATCCCTTCAAGGAATTTATTGTATTTTATATTAATTATTTTTTTATTATTGTATTTGGTGATAGTATCATTGTGATATTGTCAAATATGAAAATTATTGGTTACTAGTAGTCATTACTAGAATTATTTGAGAAATAACTATTTACTCAAAAAAATTTTATAATTACTGAAATTAAAAGGACTTTCCCTCTGCTAATTACAAACATCAGGACACTTTTAGCATTTGTATAGATTTCATCATAAAAACATATATGGTACAAATGAAGAAAATTTAATAAATGGTACAAGTGAAAAAAAGTTAGTAATGAAACAAAAATAATGAAATAAATTACTTGTCCATAAATAATCCAGCTGGTAATCATTTAAAATTATCAGATGGTTATTGTAAATAAGCAAAAGATTTTTAATGATCTTAATTTACTAGGATTTGTCTTAGGACATTAAAAGCAAATGTAATTTGAGCCAAGTTAAATTAACTGAACAAGTAGATTAAGAGTTCTGGTTCTGGTTCTGCCATTGACATTTTGGGAACTTAAATCAAGTTTCTGCCCTTTGAGTACTTCAAACTCCGTACTTGTGAAATACTGCTAATTTTTGAGAATAGGATTAGTCACATCTAGAATTTTTAAGTTGATTGTTATTACAGCATTGGAGAACTAAATGGAATCCTCTGCACTTGATCAGAAGGGGGATGGGGGGTTATAGTGCATCTCCAAGATCAGAGCTCTAGAGTATTGTTTTGGAAAAAAATGTACAATTTTATAGTTCTTTCTGTTCTTAATTGGTAAATTCCTTGTTGGCTTTTTACACTCAAGGCTTTTTTTTTTCCAGGAAGGTAGGAAAAGAACCACGGAGAGAGCTATGATTCCCCATTAGAGAAATGGAAATAAAAAGAAAGAACACTACATTGTTTTTCTGATTGATATACCACTTTAGATAGTCAACTATTTTGATCTTTCTGGCTTACACAGATTTCAAGTATTAGCTATTCAAGAAATAGTATAATATGATGGTCAAACAGCTGGCCTCAGAGCCAGGAAGACCTGGGTTCAAGTCCTGTTCCTTAAATAGGACTGTGTCACCCTGGTCAAGTTACTTTACCACTCAGTGCTCTAAAGACCTCACTAAGACCAAAGATGCCAACCGGACCTGAGGGAGGGAATTTTCTCATTGGTTAGTTAATAGTAATGCTGATAATAGCTAGCATTTATATAGCGCCTACTATGTGCCAAGCCTTGTGCTAAATGCTTTACAAACATCATATTTGATCCTCAAAGCCCTGAGACACAGGAGCTATTATTACAGTTATGAAAACAGAGAGCAGTTAAATGACTTGCCCAGGGCTGCCCATCACATATCTGAGGCTGCATTTCCTAATTCCAGCTTCAGTGCTTTATCCACTTTGCCATCCAGCTGTCTAAAACAGAGCTCTCCACACCAGTGAACTCATAGGTCTAGTCCCTATTCTTGTCTTATTTAATGTTAGGAGTTAACATCAAATTAAAGTCTTATTTCCTCACAAATGTGCTTGATGCCTATCAATGTTAACTTTTTTCTTTAGATCAGAAAATAAAGCTCTTCCTTCAGTATATAGTGCATAAAATCTCAGGATTGAAGTAGGCAACATTTACCAGCACACCACTGCCTTTGGATATTGTCTAGTTCAACCCATGTGAGAGCAGAAATCATCTCTGCAATATGCCTTATAACTAGTCATCCCACCTCTCCTTGAAGATCTCCGCGCATGTGGAGCCTCCTTTTCTATTGAAGCAGTCCTTAGTAGAACCAAAATCTTTCTTTCTATAATTTCAGTACATTGCTCATAGTTCTCCCTTCTGAGGTGTCAAGTCAAATCCTTGTTTGAAACAGCCTCTGATATTTGAAGACAGCTCCCATGACTCTCTCTCTCCCTCATTTATCTTCTTCAAGCAAACGACCCCCTAGTTCTTATAGCTACTCTCTTAGAGAGTAATAATACCCTCACTCTTCTAGTCATCTAACTTATCAATATTCTTTCTTATGATAGTAGTCATAATACTTGACATTTCTAGAGCACTTTAAAGTTTGCTAAGTACTTTATATACATGTTATTTCCTTTGATCCTCATAATAAATTATACGTTTGTAATATATTGCATATATCGCAAATCCTTTATATTTTATTTCATGCATTTAAAAATATTCTGAGAACATTTCAGCTTCACCAGATTGCCAAAGTAGTAGGGGAAATATGAAGGTTTTAACCTTAACAAAAAATGGTTTAAGAACCTCTGATCTAAGCAAATTCCTCTCCTTTTGGTGATGATGAAATACACCCAAAGAAATTTAGTAACGTGTCCTTCACACGATTGGTTGGGCAGAGCCACAGCTAGAAACTGCATCTCTTGACTTCTACTGTCTTTTACAACACAAGATTAATAATACTTTATTTTGTGTTTAAATAGATTCAAAGCAAAAAGCAGTTTTACATTGTTTATTTCAATTCAGTTTAGCAAACATTGAAAGTGCTACTGTGTGCAGAAGCTGCTTTAGACACCTAGAGAGATAATAAGTTTAAGTAAACATAACTTTTTCTAGTAGATGGATATGACATATAAACAAAAATAGTTGTGGTAGAAAACAGTATATAATAAATATATAAAACAGGTACCATCAAAGCACAGTGGGAGGTGCAGGGAGAGAAAGGGTATTAATTCCCTTAAGGGCTTAGGGAAGGCTTCCTAGAAGGGGACTCCTTTGAGTTGGATTTTAAAGGATGGATAGGAATTTTAACTGGTAGATAGGAATTTTAACTGGTGGAGGTAAATAAACCAGAAGGGAAAGGATGCTGTGAGCCAGAGGCAAAAAGAAATATAGCCCCAGGCACAAGTTTAATTAAAACAAAGAATAGAGGAATTAAAGGATGTACCAGATTATAGAAGACCTTAAGTGTCAGTCACAGGTGGTTAAATTTTACTTAGACTGTAGGAGTCAGTAAAGGATTTTAAATGGTAGAATCACATGCCTAGATTTAAGCATAAGAAAGATTGGTGTTATAAAGAATTGGAGTAGAAAAAAAAAGAGGAGGGTATGTTAGGAGACTACTGTAGGTAGATAGATGATAAGGAGGGCCTATTAGATTAGGATGATGAGAGTGAGAATGTCATGGAAGTTAAAAAAAACACAAGACTTGGTAACTGATTTTCGGAAAGAAAAGAAAGAATCAAGAATAACACCAGTGGTGGTATCAGTGAGCAAAAAAACCCATAGGATGAGTACTAGGAGAATGAAGCATTGAAAAGCCAAGGATAGAGACAGTATCCTAAAAGAGGTCAGCAGTTGGATACTACAAAGAGGAAAAGGAGATGAAGACTTCAAAAAGGCTATCATATTTGGTAATTGAGTCCCTTGTGATCTTGGAGACCGCTATTTTCAGAAAATTAGTAGAAGGGAGTGTTTGAGAAAGTAACAAGTTCATTAGGTTTTATGTAGAAAACCATCATCTTGAAAGAGACGTCAATGCTTCCCTTTTCTCCACCCCAAACTGAAACTACTGTAAGATTTGTTTTCTTTTTTATTTCCTAATGCTAGCATTTCAAAAACCCTTAAGGTTTGTCATGCAAAATCTGACAGATTTTCAGGATGTTGAGGCTGATTGGTTTAAGTCTTTCAAGATACATAATAATTAATAATCCATTAGATAAGTTTCAGTGATATTTCAGGATTTCTAAAATGTTTCATTCAGAATCGGGATGTAGTTTAACTCACTTCACTGTAATAAGGTCTAGTTCATGAAAAGATCTGCTTATGTAGTAGGAAATTATTGAAGAGAAAAATGTATTTTCTGTCATTGTTGAGCCTGAACAGCGGATCTATTAGTCCAGGTTCCAAACAATGTAAATAAATCATTTCTTTTTGAGTATATAGGGCCTACTTCTCAATTGGTTTTTTAAAAGATTATGAGAGTGTTCATTTCTGGCTTCATAAATAGAAAGCTAGCCTTGAAGCCAGGAAGACCTGAGTTCAGGTCCTACTACTTCTTTTTTTTTTCCTTTGTTTTGGCCAGGCAGTGGGGTGAAATAACTTGCCCAGGGTCACACAGCTAGTAAGTGTCAAGTGACTGAGGCCAGATTTGAACTCAGATCTTCCTTAATCCAGGGCCAGTGCTCTATCCACTGTGCCATCTAGCTGCCCCCGTCCCACTTCTGATATGTGACTGCAACAACTCTGAGCAAGTAACTTAACCTCTCAGTGTTCTAGGCCGAAGGCGTCAAAACAGAACATTGCCACCCCCACAGAATGCAGCTGGAACCATATTAAAATGTAATTGATGTCCATACAGCCGCAGGGATCTTTATGTAGTGGCTGTATTTCTGTTTGAACTTGACACCACTACTCTAGTCAGCTGTCTAAGACTATATGTTTCAGGGGCAGGTAGGTGGTGCAGTGGACACAGCACCGGCCCTGAAGTCAGGAGGACCTGAGTTCAAATCCAGCCTCAGACACATAATACTCACTAGCTGTGTGACTCTGGGCAAGTCACTTAACCCCAATTGCCCTCACCCAAAAAAAAAAAAAAGGCTATATGTTTCAGAAAAGGTGCCAGCCTACCTTTTTAGAGAGTTTTACTTCCTTGGTAGAGTTTTGCAATGGTAGTGAGTTTACTTCCACTGAATTTCCAATGAAATCACTGGTTCTGTCTCTCTCCCTTCTTATGCTAGGTACTGAGGATACAAAGACAAAAAATAAAAAAAAGGGTTACACTGTAACTTAAGGGTATAAAATGTGCTGGGCCTCAGTCTCCTCATATATAAAATCTTTCCTATATAGATGAGATAGTCCAGGATGACTTCTGAGACTTCACCTTAATTCTTTGATTCTATTAAGTTGTTTACTTGTTGGAGATATTTTGTGTTTTGACTTTTCCCCCCATGCTTCTGTTCACCAACAATTTCAGTTTAAATTCCTCTAGGATAGCAAACCATAGTTGTTATACTAAAAATGTAGAGTTAATGGCATGTATATTTATGCTATATAAAAATCTTTTCCTGATCCCCATCAGCTGTCAGGACTGCTCCCTCTCATTACCTTGTATGTAGTTTATATATGCGTATGTAGTTTATATATGCGTATGTATACATGTCGTTCCCCCTATAGAAAATAAAAGCTCCTTAAGGAAATGGGCTGTTTTGATTTTTCCTTTTTATTTGCAGTGTCTGGCACAGAGTAAATGCTAATTGATTGATTGATTGATTGGTTGGTTGAAGGACAGGAGACTTTACAACTTGTACTACAATATTGAATTTCCTTAAAATGTTTTAATTCTGTTTTTAAACAGTTGAACCACAGACAATTACAGCATTGGAGAATAAGTCAACAAATGTAAGTCTCTTAATTGTTGGATCTAGTTGTTGGAATTTTTTTTTTTACAGTTTATGTCATTGTTAGAGATACCTCAGGGATTTATCTCAAGATTAAAGGTAGACGTTCAACTGACATTAATTTTAAATTTGCTCCCACATGTCATATTATTAAAATGTACCTATACTTAGCCAAGCTGAGAATTAGGTTTATAATCTCTATATCTTGAAAGCCATTTGGCTTAAATATTTGTTAGATAAACTTAGGATTCTGGATTTATAGCATTTTTCTTTTGGATTTTAGACTACGTTATGACTGTAGTTTTTTTCAAACTGATGTTTTGAAAAGCTATTAAAGTAGAAAATGGAATATTCAAATTGGCTAATTTGATACCTTCCATATACTTTAAATATATAAAACAAGTTGGGGCAGCTAGATGGCACAGTGGATAGAGCACTGGCCCTGGAGTCAGGAGGAGGACCTGAGTTCAAATGCGGACTCAGACACATAACACTTACTAGCTGTGTGACCCTGGATAGGTAATAGATAGATATAGATAGATAGATAGATAGATAGATAGATAGATAGATAGATAGATAGATAAAAACACAAGTTTAAGGCCCATTTTTAAAATTTAAAAAATTAGTCCTGTGGGTATCCTACATAAATTTGACAATTAAGCCCAATTTGCAGCTGATTGCTAAATCATAGTATCTTAAAACTACAAGGCACTAAGAAGTCACCTAATCCAGCCCCCTTGTTTTAAAAATAAGAAATTTCTCCCACAGACCTTACTTCTACTTTTCAGGGTTTTGAAGGTAAAGGGCAAAATGAATAAGGTTGGAGGAAGTAGGGTATAAGAAAGTAACTTTCCCTCTTCTATTATAATTTCCTCTTAACTCCTTTTTTTTTCTTTTGGCAATTAGGGTTAAATGTCTTGCCCAGGGTCACGCAGCTAGTAAGTGTCAAGTGTTTGGTCTGAAGTCAGATTTGAACTGAGGTTCTCCTGACTTCAGGGCCGGTGCTCTATTCACTGTGCCACTTAGCTGCCCCTCCCTTAACTCTTTAAAAACAGTTCAGAAAAATTATTTGGGCAAAAGTCTATCCTACATCACCCTTTTAAAAGGAAGGTCGTAATGTGCTCAGAGGTCCAGAGGTTCTGTATGAGATTGAAAAAATGTGCACTATGTTCTCTTCCATTTATAATTGATTGAAAGTTATTATTTAAAATTGTTTTCAGTTTTAATGTCTTAAAGTGAATGATGTATTAAATGACTTTATATTTTTCATTTTAGGTAAAAAACTCAGACTTGGAAACAAATGAAGACGTTCACAGTTGCAGGAAAAGGAAAAGAAAGCTTTCAGAAAGCACTAATAAAATAAAAGGTAAATAAATTTCAGAATGATAATGATTTACACTAAAACTTGTTTTCTCCAGGTTAACAGCTTTTTCATTTATTTACTGCCATAAGGTTCATGCCTTTCCTTAGAGATGCAACTTCTTCATGTAATAAACATTTATCATGAACCTACCACATGCAGGGCACTTTGCTTAAGACATGGGAGGAGATAGACCAATCAAGACAAGGGCCTTGCTTCCATTAGGACACAGTACAATGAGACCACTTGGAATTTAGAAACCCATCCTCCTACCATGGTCAGGCTAAGGAGAGTCTTCCCATTCTACTAAGAGGAAAGCTGAATCTCTTCACAGCAAGATTGAAGGTTGAGAGATTTTCTGCTGTCAACCTTGCTTTGAGTTCAGTTGTAGCTTGTGGCCTGACCCTCCAGAGAGGTTCAGCCTAGATTAGTAGTAGACTTGGAACAGAGTTCTCTTGGGGATTCTCACAGCTTTGTATTCTGTACATCAGTTTCCCGTGCAGTTTTTAAATTCAAATGTAAAACTTCATTAGGTATGACTATGAGGCCAGCAGTGGAACAGTTCTCATAACAAATAACAATTAAGTTTATACTTTTACTTGGCAACATGGTAACCTCTGAAGAAGGTAAAAAGTGTACATAGTTCTTCAGTCACCTTACTTAAAATCTAGTTGGAGGGCTGTGTTATGACACCAATACAAATAACTACAGTATGAAATATTACATAAGTTCTTACAAAACTACAGATGTAACTCAGATTCCAACAGAGATTCTAAGAGTTGAGTAAAAGGAAAGTTTTATTTCCATTTGCAGTTCTGAAGAGCTTGTAAATTTAATTTCCCAAGCTTCATAATGATCATTAGAGTGAATAACTAATAACTTTCATGTTTAATTGTCAGTAGGTAGACCTACCAATGAAAAGGACATCTTGGAAGCTGAACAAAGTCAGACCATTGAAGTAAAAGCTCAAGAAGAGGTAGGTTATTCTATTAAACTGAAACTTTAAAAATATGAGTGAGAAGTTCAATTTCTTGACATAATTAAATAGAACATAGAACTTTAGAGCTGAAAGAAAACAGTCATCTAATTCATTCTGCCTATTTGATAGATAAGAAAACAGACCCATACTGAAGAAGCTACTTGTTCAAGGTTTCATCACTAATCAAGAGCAGAGTTAAGATTAGAACACAGATCTCCTAACTCACAGTCTAGTGCACATTCCTACACACTATGACATATTTACAAAATAAATTTTTGAACATAGCACTTCTTTAAGCATGACAGCAAATTAGAGATTATTTGAATACACCTAGTTCTAACGCTCACTATTTGTGGGACCATAAATTAGATGGTTAATCATTTTAGCCTTAGCGTTCTCATCTATAAAATAAAGATGATATTTGCTCAAGGGGTTGGAACACTTAAACTTAAAGTATTTCATAAATGTGAATAATTATTATGCCTACATTGCACATCTAGTAGTTTATTGCATATAGATTAGGCATTTTGACTTAACACAGACTTAGGTATTTTAGGTGTATTTAGATTCAAAGAAGAACAGTCTCAGCACTTTTCCACATGCCATATGGAAGGCATATTCAAATTAATTTGATAAATTTCTAAATTTTTTCATTCTTGTAAATCCATTTAGATCTAGATGTTGCTAATAATATGGCTGTATCACTCCAGTGACTCAGGATCCAAAACCTCTTACCCCATTTGGCATATTCCTTTTTAATTACAGGTAGAATTTCCTTGCCAAGAAGATGGAAATAATGTATCTAGAAGAAAAAGGAAAAAATATTCTTTTTCAGAAGATGAACTAGGTAATTAAAATTCATGGAGATGTTTTGTTATTTTCAAGTAATCTATTGACTAGAACCCCAAACTCTAGGTTTACATGGAACAGGTTCACTCTTGGAGACTGCACCAAAATCATGCCTTTAGCTTGTTTTGCCCCCTCTCTGAGTTTCCTTTGGGAAACCTGGAATATAGTTCACCTAAGTTTCATAGGTATGAATAAAAGGGCCCTGCGTCCAACAAATGCAGCTTAGTATGTACAGGACAGCTCTTCACTGCACCAAAAATGCAAAGCACCACAAAGAAATTATAGTAACCCAGAAGTAGTCAATACAACTCTCCTTCATTTTGTAGTGAATTCCACCTTCACCAGAGGAACCTCTACAGGCCTTCATCCTGATGACAGTATTCTAAAGCTTTGGACTTAACCTCAGAAGGAAAACATTTCAGATTGCTAGAGAAGCAACCCCCAACATTCTAATAAATCTTACTATCTCACTAAGGACCTGTATAATACTCCAGCCTTATATACTACCCTAAAGGGCTAGAACTCCTCTAGGATGAAAATGAACTTAAAGTTGCTAGAAAGGTAACCCTTCCCCATTCCCATTAATCTACATAGTCCGAATAATTTTTGGTACTAACAGTAGACAACCATGAACCCCAGCATTTGGATCCTTAATATGGCTCAGTCTCTTGCTGCTTATCTATCTCTGAGGTCATATACTTGATCTTCCATCTAGGATTTCTTGGTGTTTGTCCAGTATCTCCCACCACTCAGCCACATGTTTTCTTCTCCTGTGGCCATGTCTCTTCCCTGGCTCTTTTTGCCTGGGTTGAAGAATTGTAGCTACTCCACCATTGCCCCAGTTGCTGCTATCTTCTGGGCTTAACAAGTCTGTCTCTGCCTGTCCACCTGGTTAACCCACTACATTTGTTACCTTTTTCAAAACTTTAAAATATTATACTCCACCACATTTAAATTGGTTGATAAATAGGACAGAGAATTATTGTATGTGAGCCATTTCTTTGCCTTACACACAGATCTGAAGGTGTAGGTGTTTTTCCATGCTGGTCTAGGACATCCAAGATCCTCCTTATTTCTTGCAAGTTACTTACCAAATTGAGATAATAGTAAAATTTAACTAAGAGATAGAAGTAGCAATGTTGATCAAATTTTAATCTTTTAACCTTTTGATGGTAATAGTTGATAACTGTCCAGTGATTTTTATCAGTGTGGAAAAATTGCAGTGAGAAGATGCTCTACCAATGCAGATGGGTAGCTGTTATGCAAATTAAAGTTAGGAGAGTCAAAAGGGCCCTGAGAGGTTAAGTTGCTTGTATAATAGGGTCATCTCACTAATATGTGTTAGAGGCAGGACTTTAACCTAGGGCTGCCTGACTCTGAAACCAGTTCTCTCTATATACACTACAACATGTGGTTTCACTTACTTGTTGTAAGTGACTCTTTGCTTAACTATTGCTAAGTACCCAGAAAGAGCACTTTTCTTAGAATCAAGAGTTCTGAACTTGAATCCTGGCTCTGACACTTCTTAGCTGGTGTGATTCTATTCACTTATTCTCTTTGGACATCTGTTTCTTTACTTACAAAATGGGATTGATAATACCTAAGCTTTCTATATCCCATGGTTTTAATGAGCCCCTGTGCTGGCCTTAAGGTACCATATAAATGTAAGTTGTTCTTTTCAAGTCAAATCAACAGGCTTTTAAGTGCTTATTCTGGGCCTGGTACTGGGCTAAGTGATAGGAATACAAATAGAGGCAGAAAGACACCCCTACCTTCATGGAGCTTACATTCTAATGGGGGAATACAACACACCAAAGGAAGCTGGAAAGGAATCCAGAGAATAAGGAGTAGAGAACAAAGAACACATGGCCAGCTTGGTCACTTTCCTTAATGGAGGTTCTGAGAGGAATCATCCCTTCAGACGAAGGGGCACCAGGAGTAGAGGGAACTTCATGAAGGCACTGTTTTTGCCTAGTAGACAAAGTCAGTAAAATCAGGAGGGGAACACAGAAGAATTATCTTAATTTTATATTACAACACAGAATCTCTTCAGAAAGCATTTATTAAGCACTTAGTGTGTATATGCTAGAGGCTATGGATAGAAAAAACAAAAATGAAATCACCCTTCTGAAGAAGTTTACATTCTATTGGGAAAACAACATGCATATTGAAAATGAAATACAGAATATATACAGAATAATTTCAGAAAAGAGAGAATTCAGATAGACTTCTAGTAGGAAAAGACTCAGGAGTGAGCTTTGAAGGAAGCTAAGGATTCCATGAAAGGAGACAGCATTGGAGACAGCCTGTGGAAAGGCATGGAGACTAGAAAAGGAATATCATATACAGGGAATAGCAAGTCTAATTTGGCTGCACCAGAGTACATGAAGAAAAGATATACCCTAATATTTGTCTATACATATATACACTTAAATATATGTGTGTATGTATGTATAATATTGCTTATATATACTTAACACATAACTGTATTATATATTTATACATACATACATTTGATATGGTAAAGCCTGTGCTTTAGGAATATCAATTTGGCAGCAGTGTGGAGCATGGATTTGAAAAAGGAGAGAATGGCTACAGGGAGATCAGTTAGGAAGTTATTGCAATAGTTGATTCAAAATATGTTAAGGACCTGATCTAAAGCAAGAGGCTAGATAAGTTAGAGTGAAAGGGGCAGAGGTAAGAGATGTTAAGGAAGTAAAATTAACAAGACTTAAGCAACTCTTAGAATGTGAGGAGTGGCGTAGAGGGAAGAGTCGCAATAGTCTCTTTGGTTGTCAACTTAGATGACTAGAAGGGTAGTTTCAACAGAAATAAAGGAGTTAGGCAGAGAGCTTTTTTTCCAAGGAACAAGCATCTTTTAATTTCATGGCTGCAATTGCCATCTGCAGTGATCATTGAGCCCAAGAATATAAAATCTGATACTACTTCCATTTCTCCTCCCTGTGCTTGCCAGGAACTGATGGGCCATTTGCCAAGTTCTTGGGTTTTTATGTTAAGCTTCAAGCCAGCTTTTACACTCTCCTCTTTCACGCTCATCAAGAGGCTTCTTAATTCCTCTGCATTTTCTGCCATCAGAATGGCATCATCTGCATATCTGAGATTGTTGCATTTCTCCCAGAAACCTTAATTCCAGCTTTGATTCATCCATGCTGGTATTTTTGCATTATGTGCTCTGCATGTAAGTTAAATAAGTTGACGATATATAGCCTCATCTTAGTCCTTTTAAACCAATCAGTTGTTCATGTTTGGTTCTAAAACCAATCAGTTGTTCCATGTTTGGTTCTAACTGTTGCTTCTTGGCCCATACAAAGCAAGATGATCTGGTTCTTCCATCTCTCTGAAGACTTGCCACATTTTATTGTGATCCACATAGTCAGAAGCATTAGTGTAGTCAGTGAAGCAGAAGTAGATGTTTTTCTGGAACTTCCTTGCTTTCTTCACAAACCAGTAAATGTTGGCAATTTAGTTTCTAGTTCCTCTGTCTCTACAAAAACTGTTCGGGTTATTCTTGGTTCACATATTGTTGAAGCCTAGCTTTCAGAATCTTAACATAACCTTGCTGCTATGTGAGATGAACACAGTTCTTCAGTAATGAACATTCCTTGGCATTGTCCTTCTTTGGGATTGGGATGGAAACTGATCTCTACCAATCCAGTGGCCACTGATGAGTTTCCAAGTTGGCTGGCATATTGAGTGCAGCACTTTAACGTCATCATCTTTTAGAATTTTAAACAGTTCAGCTGTCATTCAGTCATCTCCACCAGTTTTACTGTATGCTTCCTAAGGCTCATTTGATTCATTCTCCAGAATGTCTGGCTCTAGATCAGTAACCATGTGTGATTATCAGTGATATTAAGATCTTTCTTGTATAATATTTTAACTTATAAAAGTAGTGATGCTATTAAATATTATATACTAGAGAAGGAAGAAGTACAGAAGGATGCTTAGACACACTCAAAAGCAAAAGAAAAAATTATAAAAAACTTTGGATTGGTTAACTTAGATGTTACCAAGTTGTAACAGCAACAATAATAGTACTTTTTTACCTACCAGTACAGTAGTTTGCAGCACATTAAGTATACAAAATAATAAGATAGCAACTTGTCCCAAGACAATTTCTGTCTCAGTTATGTTGGAAAAAGAGCAGGGTCATAATGTTATCTTTAAGCTGTTTGTATAACACTTTAAAGTTTACATAGCAATTGCATATCCATCATCTCATTTGATCCTCACAACATCCATTGAAATAGTAGGGCAGGTATTATTTTTTTATTTCCTTTCTTAAAGTACATATTAAATTTCACACAATATTAATGTTAAGATAGGTATTATACCTATTTTACAGATTAAAGAACCTGAGTTATGTTGGCTATAGAAAAATTAAACGATTTGCTGAAAGTCAGATGTACATATTAAATGAAAGAACAAGGAATCCATATCATAATCTCACATAGATGGAGTAATTCAGCAGTTGACCCTAAGGATAGTCAGATAAGTACTTTGTGGCTTAACATTTCCTCTAGAAAATGGAGATTAGTAGCAAGTACTTTGAGCACCCATAACTCTACCTGACATTACTATGCTATTAGCCAAAGGGAATACAAGAGGAATATAAGACATAATCCCTTCAAGGAATTTATTGTATTTTATATTAATTATTTTTTATTATTGTATTTGGTGATAGTATCATTGTGATATTGTCAAATATGAAAATTATTGGTTACTAGTAGTCATTACTAGAATTATTTGAGAAATAACTATTTACTCAAAAAAATTTATAATTACTGAAATTAAAAGGACTTTCCCTCTGCTAATTACAAACATCAGGACACTTTTAGCATTTGTATAGATTTCATCATAAAAACATATATGGTACAAATGAAGAAAATTTAATAAATGGTACAAGTGAAAAAAAGTTAGTAATGAAACAAAAATAATGAAATAAATTACTTGTCCATAAATAATCCAGCTGGTAATCATTTAAAATTATCAGATGGTTATTGTAAATAAGCAAAAGATTTTTAATGATCTTAATTTACTAGGATTTGTCTTAGGACATTAAAAGCAAATGTAATTTGAGCCAAGTTAAATTAACTGAACAAGTAGATTAAGAGTTCTGGTTCTGGTTCTGCCATTGACATTTTGGGAACTTAATCAAGTTTCTGCCCTTTGAGTACTTCAAACTCCGTACTTGTGAAATACTGCTAATTTTTGAGAATAGGATTAGTCACATCTAGAATTTTTAAGTTGATTGTTATTACAGCATTGGAGAACTAAATGGAATCCTCTGCACTTGATCAGAAGGGGATGGGGGTTATAGTGCATCTCCAAGATCAGAGCTCTAGAGTATTGTTTGGAAAAAATGTACAATTTTATAGTTCTTTCTGTTCTTAATTGGTAAATTCCTTGTTGGCTTTTTACACTCAAGGCTTTTTTTTTCCAGGAAGGTAGGAAAAGAACCACGGAGAGAGCTATGATTCCCCATTAGAGAAATGGAAATAAAAAGAAAGAACATACATTGTTTTCTGATTGATATACCACTTTAGATAGTCAACTATTTTGATCTTTCTGGTTACACAGATTTCAAGTATTAGCTATTCAAGAAATAGTATAATATGATGGTCAAACAGCTGGCCTCAGAGCCAGGAAGACCTGGGTTCAAGTCCTGTTCTTAAATAGGACTGTGTCACCTGGTCAAGTTACTTTACCACTCAGTGCTCTAAAGACCTCACTAAGACCAAAGATGCCAACCGGACCTGAGGGAGGGAATTTTCTCATTGGTTAGTTAATAGTAATGCTGATAATAGCTAGCATTTATATAGCGCCTACTATGTGCCAAGCTTGTGCTAAATGCTTTACAAACATCATATTTGATCCTCAAAGCCCTGAGACACAGGAGCTATTATTACAGTTATGAAAACAGAGAGCAGTTAAATGACTTGCCCAGGGCTGCCCATCACATATCTGAGGTGCATTTCCTAATTCCAGCTTCAGTGCTTTATCTTTGCCATCCAGCTGTCTAAAACAGAGCTCTCCACACCAGTGAACTCATAGGTCTAGTCCCTATTCTTGTCTTATTTAATGTTAGGAGTTAACATCAAATTAAAGTCTTATTTCCTCACAATGTGCTTGATGCCTATCAATGTTAACTTTTTCTTTAGATCAGAAATAAAGCTCTTCCTTCAGTATATAGTGCATAAAATCTCAGGATTGAAGTAGCAACATTTACCAGCACACACTGCCTTTGGATATTGTCTAGTTCAACCCATGTGAGAGCAGAAATCATCTCTGCAATATGCCTTATAACTAGTCATCCCACCTCTCCTTGAAGATCTCCGGCATGTGGAGCCTCCTTTTCTATTGAAGCAGTCCTTAGTAGAACCAAAATCTTTCTTTCTATAATTTCAGTACATTGCTCATAGTTCTCCCTTCTGAGGTGTCAAGTCAAATCCTTGTTTGAAACAGCCTCTGATATTTGAAGACAGCTCCCATGACTCTCTCTCTCCCTCATTTATCTTCTTCAAGCAAACGACCCCCTAGTTCTTATAGCTACTCTCTTAGAGAGTAATAATACCCTCACTCTTCTAGTCATCTAACTTATCAATATTCTTTCTTATGATAGTAGTCATAATACTTGACATTTCTAGAGCACTTTAAAGTTTGCTAAGTACTTTATATACATGTTATTTCCTTTGATCCTCATAATAAATTATACGTTTGTAATATATTGCATATATCGCAAATCCTTTATATTTTATTTCATGCATTTAAAAATATTCTGAGAACATTTCAGCTTCACCAGATTGCCAAAGTAGTAGGGGAAATATGAAGGTTTTAACCTTAACAAAAAATGGTTTAAGAACCTCTGATCTAAGCAAATTCCTCTCCTTTTGGTGATGATGAAATACACCCAAAGAAATTTAGTAACGTGTCCTTCACACGATTGGTTGGGCAGAGCCACAGCTAGAAACTGCATCTCTTGACTTCTACTGTCTTTTACAACACAAGATTAATAATACTTTATTTTGTGTTTAAATAGATTCAAAGCAAAAAGCAGTTTTACATTGTTTATTTCAATTCAGTTTAGCAAACATTGAAAGTGCTACTGTGTGCAGAAGCTGCTTTAGACACCTAGAGAGATAATAAGTTTAAGTAAACATAACTTTTTCTAGTAGATGGATATGACATATAAACAAAAATAGTTGTGGTAGAAAACAGTATATAATAAATATATAAAACAGGTACCATCAAAGCACAGTGGGAGGTGCAGGGAGAGAAAGGGTATTAATTCCCTTAAGGGCTTAGGGAAGGCTTCCTAGAAGGGGACTCCTTTGAGTTGGATTTTAAAGGATGGATAGGAATTTTAACTGGTAGATAGGAATTTTAACTGGTGGAGGTAAATAAACCAGAAGGGAAAGGATGCTGTGAGCCAGAGGCAAAAAGAAATATAGCCCCAGGCACAAGTTTAATTAAAACAAAGAATAGAGGAATTAAAGGATGTACCAGATTATAGAAGACCTTAAGTGTCAGTCACAGGTGGTTAAATTTTACTTAGACTGTAGGAGTCAGTAAAGGATTTTAAATGGTAGAATCACATGCCTAGATTTAAGCATAAGAAAGATTGGTGTTATAAAGAATTGGAGTAGAAAAAAAAAGAGGAGGGTATGTTAGGAGACTACTGTAGGTAGATAGATGATAAGGAGGGCCTATTAGATTAGGATGATGAGAGTGAGAATGTCATGGAAGTTAAAAAAAACACAAGACTTGGTAACTGATTTTCGGAAAGAAAAGAAAGAATCAAGAATAACACCAGTGGTGGTATCAGTGAGCAAAAAAACCCATAGGATGAGTACTAGGAGAATGAAGCATTGAAAAGCCAAGGATAGAGACAGTATCCTAAAAGAGGTCAGCAGTTGGATACTACAAAGAGGAAAAGGAGATGAAGACTTCAAAAAGGCTATCATATTTGGTAATTGAGTCCCTTGTGATCTTGGAGACCGCTATTTTCAGAAAATTAGTAGAAGGGAGTGTTTGAGAAGGGAGTAACAAGTTCATTAGGTTTTATGTAGAAAACCATCATCTTGAAAGAGACGTCAATGCTTCCCTTTTCTCCACCCCAAACTGAAACTACTGTAAGATTTGTTTTCTTTTTTTTTTCCTAATGCTAGCATTTCAAAAACCCTTAAGGTTTGTCATGCAAAATCTGACAGATTTTCAGGATGTTGAGGCTGATTGGTTTAAGTCTTTCAAGATACATAATAATTAATAATCCATTAGATAAGTTTCAGTGATATTTCAGGATTTCTAAAATGTTTCATTCAGAATCGGGATGTAGTTTAACTCACTTCACTGTAATAAGGTCTAGTTCATGAAAAGATCTGCTTATGTAGTAGGAAATTATTGAAGAGAAAAATGTATTTTCTGTCATTGTTGAGCCTGAACAGCGGATCTATTAGTCCAGGTTCCAAACAATGTAAATAAATCATTTCTTTTTGAGTATATAGGGCCTACTTCTCAATTGGTTTTTTAAAAGATTATGAGAGTGTTCATTTCTGGCTTCATAAATAGAAAGCTAGCCTTGAAGCCAGGAAGACCTGAGTTCAGGTCCTACTACTTCTTTTTTTTTTCCTTTGTTTTGGCCAGGCAGTGGGGTGAAATAACTTGCCCAGGGTCACACAGCTAGTAAGTGTCAAGTGACTGAGGCCAGATTTGAACTCAGATCTTCCTTAATCCAGGGCCAGTGCTCTATCCACTGTGCCATCTAGCTGCCCCCCCGTCCCACTTCTGATATGTGACTGCAACAACTCTGAGCAAGTAACTTAACCTCTCAGTGTTCTAGGCCGAAGGCGTCAAAACAGAACATTGCCACCCCCACAGAATGCAGCTGGAACCATATTAAAATGTAATTGATGTCCATACAGCCGCAGGGATCTTTATGTAGTGGCTGTATTTCTGTTTGAACTTGACACCACTACTCTAGTCAGCTGTCTAAGACTATATGTTTCAGGGGCAGGTAGGTGGTGCAGTGGACACAGCACCGGCCCTGAAGTCAGGAGGACCTGAGTTCAAATCCAGCCTCAGACACATAATACTCACTAGCTGTGTGACTCTGGGCAAGTCACTTAACCCCAATTGCCCTCACCCAAAAAAAAAAAAAAGGCTATATGTTTCAGAAAAGGTGCCAGCCTACCTTTTTAGAGAGTTTTACTTCCTTGGTAGAGTTTTGCAATGGTAGTGAGTTTACTTCCACTGAATTTCCAATGAAATCACTGGTTCTGTCTCTCTCCCTTCTTATGCTAGGTACTGAGGATACAAAGACAAAAAATAAAGAAAAAGAGGGTTACACTGTAACTTAAGGGTATAAAATGTGCTGGGCCTCAGTCTCCTCATATATAAAATCTTTCCTATATAGATGAGATAGTCCAGGATGACTTCTGAGACTTCACCTTAATTCTTTGATTCTATTAAGTTGTTTACTTGTTGGAGATATTTTGTGTTTTGACTTTTCCCCCCATGCTTCTGTTCACCAACAATTTCAGTTTAAATTCCTCTAGGATAGCAAACCATAGTTGTTATACTAAAAATGTAGAGTTAATGGCATGTATATTTATGCTATATAAAAATCTTTTCCTGATCCCCATCAGCTGTCAGGACTGCTCCCTCTCATTACCTTGTATGTAGTTTATATATGCGTATGTAGTTTATATATGCGTATGTATACATGTCGTTCCCCCTATAGAAAATAAAAGCTCCTTAAGGAAATGGGCTGTTTGATTTTTCCTTTTTTATTTGCAGTGTCTGGCACAGAGTAAATGCTAATTGATTGATTGATTGATTGGTTGGTTGAAGGACAGGAGACTTTACAACTTGTACTACAATATTGAATTTCCTTAAAATGTTTTAATTCTGTTTTTAAACAGTTGAACCACAGACAATTACAGCATTGGAGAATAAGTCAACAAATGTAAGTCTCTTAATTGTTGGATCTAGTTGTTGGGAATTTTTTTTTTTACAGTTTATGTCATTGTTAGAGATACCTCAGGGATTTATCTCAAGATTAAAGGTAGACGTTCAACTGACATTAATTTTAAATTTGCTCCCACATGTCATATTATTAAAATGTGTACCTATACTTAGCCAAGCTGAGAATTAGGTTTATAATCTCTATATCTTGAAAGCCATTTGGCTTAAATATTTGTTAGATAAACTTAGGATTCTGGATTTATAGCATTTTTCTTTTGGATTTTAGACTACGTTATGACTGTAGTTTTTTTCAAACTGATGTTTTGAAAAGCTATTAAAGTAAGAAAATGGAATATTCAAATTGGCTAATTTGATACCTTCCATGATATACTTTAAATATATAAAACAAGTTGGGGCAGCTAGATGGCACAGTGGATAGAGCACTGGCCCTGGAGTCAGGAGGAGGACCTGAGTTCAAATGCGGACTCAGACACATAACACTTACTAGCTGTGTGACCCTGGATAGGTAGATAGATAGATAGATAGATAGATAGATAGATAGATAGATAGATAGATAGATAGATAGATAGATAGATAGATAGATAGATAAAAACACAAGTTTAAGGCCCATTTTTAAAATTTAAAAAATTAGTCCTGTGGGTATCCTACATAAATTTGACAATTAAGCCCAATTTGCAGCTGATTGCTAAATCATAGTATCTTAAAACTACAAGGCACTAAGAAGTCACCTAATCCAGCCCCCTTGTTTTAAAAATAAGAAATTTCTCCCACAGACCTTACTTCTACTTTTCAGGGTTTTGAAGGTAAAGGGCAAAATGAATAAGGTTGGAGGAAGTAGGGTATAAGAAAGTAACTTTCCCTCTTCTATTATAATTTCCTCTTAACTCCTTTTTTTTTTCTTTTTGGCAATTAGGGTTAAATGTCTTGCCCAGGGTCACGCAGCTAGTAAGTGTCAAGTGTTTGGTCTGAAGTCAGATTTGAACTGAGGTTCTCCTGACTTCAGGGCCGGTGCTCTATTCACTGTGCCACTTAGCTGCCCCTCCCTTAACTCTTTAAAAACAGTTCAGAAAAATTATTTGGGCAAAAGTCTATCCTACATCACCCTTTTAAAAGGAAGGTCGTAATGTGCTCAGAGGTCCAGAGGTTCTGTATGAGATTGAAAAAATGTGCACTATGTTCTCTTCCATTTATAATTGATTGAAAGTTATTATTTAAAATTGTTTTCAGTTTTAATGTCTTAAAGTGAATGATGTATTAAATGACTTTATATTTTTCATTTTAGGTAAAAAACTCAGACTTGGAAACAAATGAAGACGTTCACAGTTGCAGGAAAAGGAAAAGAAAGCTTTCAGAAAGCACTAATAAAATAAAAGGTAAATAAATTTCAGAATGATAATGATTTACACTAAAACTTGTTTTCTCCAGGTTAACAGCTTTTTCATTTATTTACTGCCATAAGGTTCATGCCTTTCCTTAGAGATGCAACTTCTTCATGTAATAAACATTTATCATGAACCTACCACATGCAGGGCACTTTGCTTAAGACATGGGAGGAGATAGACCAATCAAGACAAGGGCCTTGCTTCCATTAGGACACAGTACAATGAGACCACTTGGAATTTAGAAACCCATCCTCCTACCATGGTCAGGCTAAGGAGAGTCCTTCCCATTCTACTAAGAGGAAAGCTGAATCTTCTTCACAGCAAGATTGAAGGTTGAGAGATTGTTCTGCTGTCAACCTTGCTTTGAGTTCAGTTGTAGCTTGTGGGCCTGACCCTCCAGAGAGGTTCAGCCTAGATTAGTAGTAGACTTGGAACAGAGTTCTCTTGGGGATTCTCACAGCTTTGTATTCTGTACATCAGTTTCCCGTGCAGTTTTTAAATTCAAATGTAAAACTTCATTAGGTATAGACTATGGAGGCCAGCAGTGGAACAGTTCTCATAACAAATAACAATTAAGTTTATACTTTGTACTTGGCAACATGGTAACCTCTGAAGAAGGTAAAAAGTGTACATAGTTCTTCAGTCACCTTACTTAAAATCTAGTTGGAGGGCTGTGTTATGACACCAATACAAATAACTACAGTATGAAATATTACATAAGTTCTTACAAAACTACAGATGTAACTCAGATTCCAACAGAGATTCTAAGAGTTGAGTAAAAGGAAAGTTTTATTTCCATTTGCAGTTCTGAAGAGCTTGTAAATTTAATTTCCCAAGCTTCATAATGATCATTAGAGTGAATAACTAATAACTTTCATGTTTAATTGTCAGTAGGTAGACCTACCAATGAAAAGGACATCTTGGAAGCTGAACAAAGTCAGACCATTGAAGTAAAAGCTCAAGAAGAGGTAGGTTATTCTATTAAACTGAAACTTTAAAAATATGAGTGAGAAGTTCAATTTCTTGACATAATTTAAATAGAACATAGAACTTTAGAGCTGAAAGAAAACAGTCATCTAATTCATTCTGCCTATTTGATAGATAAGAAAACAGACCCATACTGAAGAAGCTACTTGTTCAAGGTTTCATCACTAATCAAGAGCAGAGTTAAGATTAGAACACAGATCTCCTAACTCACAGTCTAGTGCACATTCCTACACACTATGACATATTTACAAAATAAATTTTTGAACATAGCACTTCTTTAAGCATGACAGCAAATTAGAGATTATTTGAATACACCTAGTTCTAACGCTCACTATTTGTGGGACCATAAATTAGATGGTTAATCATTTTAGCCTTAGCGTTCTCATCTATAAAATAAAGATGATATTTGCTCAAGGGGTTGGAACACTTAAACTTAAAGTATTTCATAAATGTGAATAATTATTATGCCTACATTGCACATCTAGGTAGTTTATTTGCATATAGATTAGGCATTTTGACTTAACACAGACTTAGGTATTTTAGGTGTATTTAGATTCAGAAATGGAAGAACAGTCTCAGCACTTTTCCACATGCCATATGGAAGGCATATTCAAATTAATTTGATAAATTTCTAAATTTTTTCATGTCTTGTAAATCCATTTTAGAATCTAGATGTTGCTAATAATATGGCTGTATCACTCCAGTGACTCAGGATCCAAAACCTCTTACCCCATTTGGCATATTCCTTTTTAATTACAGGTAGAATTTCCTTGCCAAGAAGATGGAAATAATGTATCTAGAAGAAAAAGGAAAAAATATTCTTTTTCAGAAGATGAACTAGGTAATTAAAATTCATGGAGATGTTTTGTTATTTTCAAGTAATCTATTGACTAGAACCCCAAACTCTAGGTTTACATGGAACAGGTTCACTCTTGGAGACTGCACCAAAATCATGCCTTTAGCTTGTTTTGCCCCCTCTCTGAGTTTCCTTTGGGAAACCTGGAATATAGTTCACCTAAGTTTCATAGGTATGAATAAAAGGGCCCTGCGTCCAACAAATGCAGCTTAGTATGTACAGGACAGCTCTTCACTGCACCAAAAATGCAAAGCACCACAAAGAAATTATAGTAACCCAGAAGTAGTCAATACAACTCTCCTTCATTTTGTAGTGAATTCCACCTTCACCAGAGGAACCTCTACAGGCCTTCATCCTGATGACAGTATTCTAAAGCTTTGGACTTAACCTCAGAAGGAAAACATTTCAGATTGCTAGAGAAGCAACCCCCAACATTCTAATAAATCTTACTATCTCACTAAGGACCTGTATAATACTCCAGCCTTATATACTACCCTAAAGGGCTAGAACTCCTCTAGGATGAAAATGAACTTAAAGTTGCTAGAAAGGTAACCCTTCCCCATTCCCATTAATCTACATAGTCCGAATAATTTTTGGTACTAACAGTAGACAACCATGAACCCCAGCATTTGGATCCTTAATATGGCTCAGTCTCTTGCTGCTTATCTATCTCTGAGGTCATATACTTGATCTTCCATCTAGGATTTCTTGGTGTTTGTCCAGTATCTCCCACCACTCAGCCACATGTTTTCTTCTCCTGTGGCCATGTCTCTTCCCTGGCTCTTTTTGCCTGGGTTGAAGAATTGTAGCTACTCCACCATTGCCCCAGTTGCTGCTATCTTCTGGGCTTAACAAGTCTGTCTCTGCCTGTCCACCTGGTTAACCCACTACATTTGTTACCTTTTTCAAAACTTTAAAATATTATACTCCACCACATTTAAATTGGTTGATAAATAGGACAGAGAATTATTGTATGTGAGCCATTTCTTTGCCTTACACACAGATCTGAAGGTGTAGGTGTTTTTCCATGCTGGTCTAGGACATCCAAGATCCTCCTTATTTCTTGCAGTACAACTGAACCCCACTGACCCACCCCCTAGATTAGTCTTAGAATTTGCTCAGTCTCCCAAGGTCATTTGAGTTAAGGAAAACCTCAGGCCAAACTAAATACTCCCCAACTTTTCATATTCCCTAGTTATAAGTAATCTAAATATTTTTTAAGAACATCTGAAATATGGCTGGTAATAGTCCCATTGCACTGAACACACATCAGACTGTATCTGGACTACTGTGTTCAGTTCTGGACCCCACCTCTAAAAGCATGATATTGAAAAATTATCTACATCCAGAGTTAGATAGCTTAAAGCATGATAGTTTTGGGGGGTTTTTTTAACCCTGAAGACCATGCTGATTTATTCATGAAACTGGGCCTGAGAAGACAAGAATTGGCAGTGGGAAAAAGACAAGAGAGCATCTTCAAGTATTTTAAGTCATCCTGTAGAGGAGGGATTAGACCTTTGCATATGGCCCCACAGGGAAGAACTAAGAGCATTGGGCAGAAGCTCTATAGTAGCAGATTTATCTTCTGTATTAGGAAAAACAGTAAGAATTAGAGCTATGTCAAAGTGGGAAAGACTATCTTGGGGTAGAATAGACTTCTCTTTAGAGTTATTCAGGGAAAGGCTAGATGACAAGTTGGTAAAGATGTCTACAGAAGAAATTCTAGTTTGGATTAGGTAGCTTCTAAGTTCCTTCCAGCCTTCTGACCCATGACAAAATTATGTTTTTATGGTTAAAGGAAGGAGGAAGGATGCCACTTTAATAATTATCCGCCTCCATAATTTCTCTTCCATTCTGGTACATAGTAACAGTTTAGACAAAAACCCAATGCATAGACTGTCCTGTTGATGTACTGATACCTATACTCTCCTTAATACTCATGTAAGTGGTACTCAGAACATTACCATTCGTACATACCTGTTAATATTTGAATTCCAGCCAATTACTAGCCATTTATTAAGTGTTTTTCCTATTGGGAATGAAAATGACTCCAACTCTTTCCACCAGACCATCCTGTCAACCGTTCTGCAATTAGTGGCTCTTACTTAACTTGTTGTTTATGACACCAAGGTCTTTGTCTCCTGTCCACCTCATCCTGTATTTAGAATCATAGAGTGGGAGGCAGCTAGGTGGCGCAGTGGTTAGAGCACCTGGATTCAGGAGGACAGGAGTTCAAATCTGGTCTTAGACACGTAACACTTACTAGCTGTTTGACGCTGGGCAAATCACTTAACCCCATTGCCTAGCAAAAAAAAAGAATCATAGAGTGAAGTTGAGAAAAACCCGAAAATTACCTAATCTGACCCTCTTATTTTACAAGCGAGGGAGCTAGCCCAAAGAAGTGACTTGCCCCGTCGCATATCTAACGTCCATACCCCTAATACCCAAGTGTCCTGACTGGACTACACCAAGGTTGACGGTGATGATCCAGGGTTCAAACTAAAAAGTCCTTGATGGCACCTTAAGCAGTAAAGAGTTGTAAAGAATATTATAAATAGTATATTAGATTACCCTGGGGGTTCACAGCACTTTGTTGTTATTGTCAGTTTTTGTTGTTCTTTTCGAAAGGTGTTCATGAAATAAGAAACCTTGGGAACCATTGCTACATGCTACTATATTATTGGGGTTTTTTAATCTGTAATTGAACTTCTCATTTGTCCATTTTAATTTTATCTCATTCTTATAATAGCATTTTTCCACTGAATTATGTTTTTCATTCTAGAATATTAACAATTAATGACAGCCTAATTTAGTATAATCCACATGAGAAACATACTGTTGATTATTTATTCAAATTATCATAAAAGATACTGAATAATCCTTAGTGCTAATCCCTTTGATATAGGCTTCCCAGACTGATCTCAGGCCTTTGATTTGATTTTCAAACCACAATCATATTCACCTATATGAGTAGTATAATGAGAACCATATTTTCCTAATTTGCCTATGAGAATTTGTTGTTGTTCACTCACTTTACTTGTGTCCAACTCTTTGTGACCCCATTTGGGGTTTTCTTAGCAAAGATACTGGAGTGTTTTGCCATTTCCTTCTCCAGCACATTTTACAGATGAGGAAACTGAGGCAAACTGGATTAAGTGAGTTGTTCAGGGTCACACAACTAGTGTCTCAGGCTTGATTTGAACTTGGGAAAATGAGTTTTCCTAGTTCCCAAACCAGTGTATTGTGCCACCTAACTATTGCCTATTCGAATACAGATCAAAATTAGAAACTTAATGAAGATTGATAATGTCATGTATTTCCTCTCTGTTCATGTGGTCTGTCACTGTCTTACAGAGGAAAACTATTTTATCTTTACGTGAATTTCTGTTTATAAAGTTATGTTGATTCTTTTTTTTCCTAGTAGCTCTAATATACAGTTGCAAACTGATTAGACAGGAAAAATTTTTAGATTTTAACATGAAAATAAAGTATGCATTTAATCACTTCTTTTGTTGGTGAAAGTCATCATTTTATTTATTACATATGCATTCTAAGACTGATACAGAGTCACAAGAGAGACGAGACCCTAGTGCTTCCAGAAAGTTGGAAGTTAATGTTCATTTATTAGGAATTATCACTGAGATGTTCATTATGGTTTTACAAACTCCCTCCAGTGACCCATGTATAGTTTAGTGAAGTCAGAAGCCAATATTCAGTTCTCAGAATCCTAATTTGGTCATATGTCACTTTTGACTTCACTATAATTCATAGCTTAGAAATGTTTCTGTTGTGGTAATTTTTTTTAAAAGGCATCAGACACTATTTGGACCTGGAATAATTCTTTTTTTTATGTAACTGATCTCTTAAAGTTTATCTTTCTCTGATTGTATCTAAACTGAATACAGATGATAGCCTGGACCCAAGCAAAGAAGTGGTACAGAGTCAGTGTTCTGAAACAAAACCACAAGTTATAAAGGTATTTTATAGCGTGTGCTATTTTCTTTCTCTCCTTTTTCTTTTCTTTTTGGTAAACTGATTATATCGCTGTGAATTCTTATAATACTCCTTCATTCTAATGCGTACTTTATTTCCACTTAATAAAAATAGCTGTGCTATATAGAGATTTCTTACAACTCTTATGAGGAAGATGCTAGAGCTAATATCTCCATTTGAGGCTGAAAATATAATTAGGAAGGTGAAACTGTTAATGTAAAGTTGACTATATTTTAGATCAGACAATATCCATTCAATGCTGTTATCTTTTTCTTAAGACATTTAGATATTTTAAAGCTTTCTGTTATAAATGAATGGTAGAAAAAGAGAATTTGGGAGTGGGGGCAGAAGGAGAATGAATTCAGTGAATCGTGAAGGGATACTACCAGTGGCAGGATACTCAGCACTGCTGGTGGAATAATCAAAGTATGCACAGAAGACAGGGAGTAAACGCTGAGTTGTTGGAACTGTTCATAACTTCTTAGAACAGAACTGATGCAACCTCACTTCCCTCCCCCCTTTTTTTCCTCTCATTTCCTTCTCAGGAGTGTGTTTACCTGTTACCTCAATTTCCATTTCTGAGGAGTATATTTACCTTTCTGTTTACTTTATCATTTAACTATGATAAATGTACTTAACTGTCTACATAAATAAAAATTTAAAGAGAAATGTAAATGGCAGATAAAGCTTTAAAAAAAAAACTCCAATACATTTAAATTCTCAGATAACTGAAAGAATAAATCTATAATGAATTCTCATGGTTTCCTTGGATGGTTTCCACTTTCATTCCTTGCCTACTACATGTTTAGGGAATGGAAACCAATTTTGATATTGGACTAATTAAAATAAGTTTTCATTCCCTAATACATAGAAGTAAAGGGGAGTTTAAGTGCCTGGAGGCTGTCTGTACTGAGCAATATAGCATACAAGTTTTACATGATCTTTGTATTCTGAAAGTTTTAACCTAGGCTTACATATAACAGCCTCCAAAAGTGAAGGAATAAAAACACTTTTATAGGTATGCATTTCACCTAAGTTAATTGGTTCTCTGAAAATGTGGTGTTAGGGCAGAACTGACTATGTGAACTACAGCAGGGTTTGGATTCTGCAGCCTTCTGGATGGATATAGTATGTTAACATTGTTGAAAAGCTGTATTAATAAGAGGAATATTTATATGTAGTATGTCTGTTTTATAATTTATCAGAAATGGAATAGATGTAGAAATGGAGTATGGTGAAAAAATGAGTTTGAAAAGTAAGTGATCCACTCTTACTTTTTTTTCACATTCTGAATAGGAAGAGAGTTCTGAAGGTACAGAAGAAATATGCCGAGAAAGTATTAAAAATATTGCTTCAAGGCCTGTGGCAGAAAAGAGTAAGTAACAAAATATGTTTATCAATTAACATAGGCAATTACCATAGCCTAAATTATTTTGAAAGAGGCTAAGGTTCTCAGATACCAGGTATACCACTTCTCTGAGCAACCTGTAATCTTTAGTCAGTTGTGTTTTTTACTTAACAAACACAAATCTTCACCTGCCTATGCTGCTCATCTGTTTCCTTAAAAAATATGGGAAACACTTGACTTTTTTTGTTTGGCTGTCTGGAATTGATAAATACTAGTTTCTAATTTGGATCCTTATCTGTGCAAAGTGAATTGCCTTGTATTGGTTATTAAACATAGTCATGCTAAGTTAATTGCCTTTTCCATGGTATAGACATGAATTGGATAGTTTGCTTGTAATTGTGACCACTAGCATAGATCTGCCTAAGCTAGGGAGGCAGTGATGTTGGTGTTGGTTAACAGGATTTCTTAGACCAGTGTATATTGCAGTATTTCCTCTGAGCTGTGCCTTTTCTACAGGTGAACATAATAGCAGGGAAGCTAATGACGAAAAGGCAGAGGAGAATGAAGAGGACAGTGTAAAATCTCCAGAGGCAAGTAGTCTTGTGTTCATTAAGAAATGTTTGCATTTTTAGTCAGATTTTTTAAATGTTTTGATTCTCAGAGAAAAAATGTCAGAATATAAATACATAAATTATGCTCAAATATCATAGCTCAAATTCAAGGTACTTCAAACACTAATGTGAAATCAATAACTAGTCAAGCAACATCTTTATTTTTGAGCATTTTATATAAGGAACTGTGCTAAATTCTTCATAAAAAGTAGTTTTAAGGAAATATAAGACACTAGTCATAGTGTCTAATATAAAATTAGGATAACAATATTTACACTTCTCATCTCACAGGGTTCCATTGATGAACATGAGGAATAGTAATTAAAATACCTTGTACGCTATTAATTAAACACCATATAAATGTAAATTACATTATTATTTTCAGGTTTTAAAGTTTTAATTGTTATCATTACTAATACCACACTTTGCCAAATCAATAAGGTTTTGAAACCAAGGTGGCAATTGTTAGATAAGTGCATTGAATATTTAATTTTTGGTGTAATAAGATGCCATTTTATAGAGTGGGTCTTCTGTACTGATCCCTTATAACACAGCAATCAAAATCTGTATTGATAAAGTCATGCATCTCGTGGCTGTTCAGCCAGATGCTCTAGTAGGAAGGAGTCTGGTAGAATATTTAAACCGCAACTGTCCAGAAGGCTGAAATTAGGGCTTTAGTGTTGTTCAGTCATTGTTTTGGTCGTGTCCAACTCTTTGTGATCCCATTTGGGGTTTTCTTGGCAAAGGTACTAGCATGGTTTGCCTTTTCCTTCTCCAACTCATTTTCAGTTGAGGATACTGAGGCAAACAGATTCAAGTGACTTGTTCAGGGTCATACAGCTAGTGTCTAAGGCTAGATTTGAGCTCAGGAAGATGAATTTTCCTGACTCCAGGCTCAACACTTTATCCAAAGGGCCATCAGCTGCCCAAAATGAAGGCTTAAGTATACTGAATTAATAATGTTTTTCCACATTTAGAAGGGAGGAAGAGTTGCAGGTAAAAGAAATGTTGAACAATTGAAAAAAAAATTTAATTTGGAAAAAAAAAGACAAAAAAAGATGACATCAGTGTTTCTAGTTCTAGTTTGTTAAACCACCACAAAATAAATCACAGTGAAAGGACACAAGTAAAGACTTAATACAGCTCCCTAGGCTTCGGAAGTTGGTATTTCCAGGACATGGTACTTAGAAGATGCTTAACAAATACTTATGGAGTTGAAAGTAGAGGTTTTGAAGTAGTGACCAAAAGGCTGTATTTTTCACCATTTTTTTTTGGCTCTTTTCACATATATTAGTAAAATTTGTGCAGCTAAGTGTTTTGACTCTACAAAATAACAGTAGTACTTCTTTGTACCACTGGTATTTCGGGCATAAGGTTTAGAGGTCAACCAGGTTACTATATTTTATTTGCATCAAATGTACTTAGTAACAATATATTGGAAAATGCTTGTAATAGCAGCCTTCTTAAACCAGGACTATTTAAGCAGGCCAGTGTAATCAAAGTTTAACCATGCAGACTTAATAAATTATTAAAACAGAGAGTTTCAGTCCCCTGCATCATATGGGCCATTTCTGTAAGAATAGAAATGAGTGATAGACCCACTTCTAGATCAGGCCTTATATAGCATTCATGGTCCTTCCTTATTACAACATCCATTAAGCCACCAGCTGTGTAAGACTGTAAAGATGGCTAGCCCTTTGTTTTAAAAAAAATTTTTTTTTCTCATATTGGTAGATGATAAATTTTGGTCATAACTGACTTGGACTAAAGTCAGAATTTGGATATGTAAAAGACCCTACAAGTGCTTTTTATCCTCTTAGATCAGTTTTCCCCATCATTTTCTTCTTCAGTATCTAAGTAGCAAGGGGTAGGTAGTTAGAAAAAATGACTTTGAAAGAATGACTGTAGACTTTTTTTAATTCCTCCCTTAGGAAGACCATCCTGTAATAGTTAAAAGGAAAAGAGGAAGACCTCGTAAACACCCTATAGACGCAACAGTAAAAATTAGTAAGTACTAATTTAAAAAAAAAAGTTAAGTTACTTGTTATGTTTTCAATCATAGAATGATTCAAGTTGATTTTCTAAATTACCTTTCAATTCTTTTTTCTTTTAGAAGAGGACTCCAAAACAGATACTGATACTGTAAGTGTTTTTCCTCCTTACCAACCTCCGTCTTACAAAAAAAAATAAAAAAACAAAAACCTGTCTTCCAGTAATTAACATATTTCTTCCCTTCAAATAAGTATACCACAATACAAAATTTTGTTCGTTTGTTTTGGGTAGGCAGTGGGGTTAAGTGACTTGCCCAGGATCACATAGCTAGTAAGTGTCAGTGTCTGAGGTCTGATTTAAACTCGGGTCCTCCTGACTCCAGGGCGGGTGCTCTACCAGTGCAGCATCTAGCTGCCCCCACAATACAAATATTTTGTATTGTTAGCATAGTGGAGTGAATATAGAGGGCTAGCTTCAGAATCAGGAAGATCTGGGTTCAAGTCCTACCAGGATCCAGACTGATTATATGACCCTGAGCTAGGTACTTAACCTTAGTGCCCTAAGGCAACCATTTCATAGTATGATTTGCAAAATAGTTGCTAATCTGCATTGGTTTAGGGATTTTCCTTACTAGATATTCTCTTACTAGATATTCCAATGAAGTTAAAAGTTTAGACCAGAAAATTTAAGTGAAACTGTGTCCATTAGCTAAAATGGAAAAATTCCAGGTGAATCCTCATGACTGTGAAAAAATAAAAAGGCATTCTCTTGACTGTTCTGAGCTAACAGAATTGGATGATGATAATTCATATAAAACTTTTACTTCTAATTGTTTCCTTCATGAAAGCAATGACATAATTATTTATTCCTCAAAGTATTACAGCTTTCCTATTCCTTTGTAAATTTCTTTACACAGAAATTTGAAAGGCAGCATGTTGTAGTACAAGGAGCACTTGATTAGATATTTCATATTTCTTTATTTACTAGCCAGTTGATCTTAACCAAGTCACTTCACTTCTCTGGGACTCAATTCCCTTGCCTATAAAATGATGGAGTTTGATCAGATAACCTCTAAATTCCCTTTCACATCTAAATTTATTATTCTAGAATAAAAGAAAAGTATGACTTTTTTTATAAAGTTAGATTTTTTAAGCTACTGGTTTCTTATATTAAGCATTTTTAATATACAGTCCTAAATTTAGGTTTGAATATGCTGTACGTATCTAGTTTAGTATAAATTATCAAAGAGGATTTATAAATAACAGTTCATGTTTGTGTAACACTTAAAGCATCAAAGCACTCCTTATCTATTCTCTTAGTTGATCCTGAAATACCTAAAAGATTTCCTTATAATACAGCAAGTTCTGTATCCAAAAACCTTATTTAAGTCATTATTTTTAAAATATTGAATTGATATTAATTTGTTTTCTCCACTACTGAAGCACTGGAACTCAGATTAGGAATTTCTAGGAGCAAAGCTATGTGCAGTTCTATTTGATAGATATTATGTTGCAGTTTCCTCTAGAATATTGTTTATAATACCTTTCTCCTCAACCTGCTCATAGCTTTTCTCTTTTGTACTCTGATACATTTGCCATATTGTGTTATGCATTTTTTTGGTAGACCATAAGCTTCTTGAGTTCAGAGACCATTCTTATCTAAATTTAGTGTCTCTGTCTCAGGGCCTAACAGTGCCCTACATATGGAGGTGGTTGTTACCTCTCAATGGAAATAGTCTGATAAAAGACCATTGCATTTTTCCCCCCAGTCTGCACTTACTAACCCAGATAGCAGATATGCCATCTCTTGGCATCATTTCTTCCATTCCTATTCACGTGCCACTGTTCACATGAGTGCCGATTGTATCAACTTGTCAAAGATGGGTCAGAGCTGTTTCTCTTAACTTGTGCTTCCTAACTCTTGAGGTTTTACCACTTGTGATTTTTCCATGAATTCAGGCAGTTCTGCATTCCTATGCAGAGCCTGTCTGTCTACTCTGTATTCATCTGGTACATCTGACCAATTAGAGAAATTAGAGATGTTATCTTTATAGACAGAAAACATTTCATCCAATCAACATTTAGTAAACACCGGTTATGTGAAATGCATTGTAAAAACTCCTAGGCCTAACTGACCTTTAAGAATATTCATGGTAAAAGTCATTAAACCTTTAGTTTTCTAGTCTGTATATGATTTTGTTAGAACTCAGTAATTGAGAGGGTTCCCTCCCTTTTTAGTTACAACAGCCTCCACCGAGGGACAAAGTGAAGCTTGATCACATGGGTATGTTTCTTTCAGCATTCCTCTTTGTAATGATGGGAAAGCTGTATGTTGTGGGGAGGGGGGAAATTTTAGCCTTTAATTTTATTCAGTCTTAATTAAGTTTCATGGTATAGTAAAAAGTTCCCTGGACTTGGAGTTAGAAGAACTAGGTTCAGGTTCCCACTCACCTACCTTGGTGACATCTGTGATAAGGCACTAAACTTCCATAACCTCTGTTACATGGAAATAGTGTTGGTTCTACCTACCTCATAGAATTATTCTGAGTAAAGTTCTTTGAAAACCGTAAAATGTCATATAAATTTAAGCAAGCTTGAATATAATAATAGCCTTTTGGTTTCCCTCTCTCTAAGGTAAGTATCCTTTTACTGTAAAAGAAGTTTAAAGTATACTCAACATGGTTTACCTATAGCTTTTCATTCTGCAGGTGAATAGGTTGAATATATTGCTCTATGACCATTTTTATATTTCACTGGGTTTTGTTAGCCCAATGTCTGAGTCAGAAATATCTGTTTTGAAGGATATCTAATCTCTTGGATGTGGGGGATCCCTCAAATAATGCAATTTACATACTATACTTGGCCTTTCATCCTTGTAGCTCTTCCCCATAAATTCTTCTCAGGGTTTCTACCCAGTATGGTATAGGTCTTCTTTTTCTTTTGACGGAATATAGATTCTAATGACATACATATGGTATCCATCATTTACTGCTTAAATAGCTCTTGCAGCATGGCTGTCCCACTACTCTTTTCTAGTCATATAGCTCTCTGATTATGTCTTTGGACATTTTTTCTCTTGTACAGTTCTTTAGTAATGTGTTGCAGCCTATTCATGCTCGTCCTGAGTTTCTGCATGAAGTATGTAGATGCATCTTCATGAAGCATCAAGATGTTGTTAGTATATACTTAGAGATAAAAACAACTTCCAAAAAAAGCATATGCCTTCTTTTAAAAGTCCAAGACTTAGAAACAAAACAGTGTTTCTGGTATTTTCTACTGATTCGCTTCATGCCTTCTACACTCTGGTTCCAACTTAACTTTCCAGTATTATCTCACTAACATTAGTCCCTCTTCTGTAATCTGTAAACTGGCCAATTCACTGTACCCTGAAGAAATCTCACGTTTTCCAGTTCTGAACTTTTGTGTGCACTATTCCATATGCTTCAGATGCTCTCCCAACATCTGCCTACTGACCTCTTCCCTGTTATTCAAAGCCTAATTCAAATGCACCTCCTCCATGAAGTTTTCCTTGGCTACACTTCCCAACTGCAAACTCAAAGTGTCTCGCCTTCATCTACTGTCATACACTTTATACCCTTATACATGTGTCATGGGCTGATCTGTATTATTTTTATTTGTGTTCATTTTATCTCCTTCACTAGATTTGTAAATTCCTTAAGGACAGAATCGTTCTGTCTCCCATAATGCCTAGCATAGTATATTGTACATGGCAGATGCCTAGTAAATGTTTTTTTCATTGGATGAAAGAATGAATGCATGTGAGGGGTCAGAACAAACAAAAGATGTAATTATAGACAGCTCCTCTTTATAGCTGATCATGACAGATAATTCTTGATGACTTTTGTAATATTTGTTTTCTAGAAAGAAAGGGTGAGATGAGGGTCTTCTCAATTAGATTTGGATGGGAGAGTAGAGGAAACAAGTTTTGGAATTGATTGTAGAGAAATGTCTGTGGTTGAGAAGGAAACCACTGTTCTAGATTTATGAAGAGAATTGTCAGGTGCAGACATAAAAATTTAGATACGACTTCACAATGCAAGTCAGAAATAAACTCATCCAGATGATTAATTTTTTTTAACCTTTTCTAGATGTAGCCTTACAGTGAGAGAATGAAATAAAAAGGAGGTGTTAAATTTAGGGGAAACAGTAAAACTGATACAATCTTGAGCATCTAATTTGAAAGACAAATATATTAACTCAGTTTAATATAAAAAATTAAATTATCCTACTGGAATTTTATAGCATAAAAGATTCAGTATCAAGAAAGATACATATAGCATCAGCATTTTTAATGTATTAGGTTGACAACCAAGTAGAGCATGGTTTGGAAAGGCATGAAACTAAGTTGTAAGACAGCTTTTTGTAGTATTCTAGCCTTTAAAGAGATTACTTTTTTTTCTTTGAGTATAGCTATGTAAAGACAAGATACACTATCAGTAAGATTTTTTTTACCACTTTTCATTTATTATTTCATAATATTTTATGCAATGATAAATCATTTTATATAAAGAAATCTTTTAAAAGCTTCATTGGGTTGTTGTAGGTTAGCCGTGTTGTGACTGCTTTTGCTAATTATGTTTCTAAGGATATGATTTTACCATAGTTTATCTGAATATCAGTAACAAAACATATAATAATAGTTTTCTACTTTGCCCTATTTTGATAAAGACTTTTAAATTTCTAGCATTACTCTAAAGAAGAAACAATCATTCTCAGTAATCAGTAATCCACTGTGAGAAGTCATCAGATGTATGAGATTTTGCAAATGAAAAATATTCCTAAAATTTTTGTTTCACTTAATCTGTTAAATCAAACTTAGCTTTTTTTTTTTAATAAATTTTGAGGAAAGTATAGCTCAATAATATTTTATGGTATTATTTACACTGAAACAAAATCTCAATTAAAGGAAAGTTATAAAGTTAAATTCTTCCCCTTTCAAGTCAATATGAACTTTGTCTCCATAGGGAAATGATAAATAACAAAAGAATTGGGGTTATTGTTTTTATTTTGTGGGCTCTCTGTATTATAGTGTCTGGCTTCAATATTGAACAATTCCCTTGTAGGAGAAGCCAAATCTTCATTATTAAAAAAGCTAGACTGTGCATATTTTTTATTAATACTACCTTGCTGGATCTTTACAGAATAATTAGTGTTTTCATGAGAACTAGTACCTAAACAATTTAAAATAATAAAGTATTAATGCACTAATTTCTTTGCTTGTCTTAAAGATAATTCTAATAAAGAGATAGCAAATGAAGAAGTTAATTTGGCCAATGTAAGTATCCATTATTTTATCATTTTTTACAAATGTATGTCTTAAGTGAAAATTGGAATTCCTTCTGAACTTTGGTCTCATTTGATTTGATTACACTTAGGACAATGGAGAAGAGAAAATGGTAGCAGTTATGCGTCGAAGAGGAAGAAAGCCCAAGCGCTCTTTCACAGGATCAGAAGAAACTGGTATGATTCAAACGAATTGGTCTTAAGTGGTTGAAAATTTTTTTTTATGTTCTTGGGTACAGATTATTTCATTGTTTAAAATAAGTTTTTATTTGTATTTTTTTTCATTGAGGGAAAAGATCCAATGCTTCACAGCTTGTATTAATATTACATAAATAGTGCAAATTGCTATAATCCCATGTCAGAATTTGGTATATACCAGATGCTTTTCTGCATACAACTGAATTTTCTATGAATTCTGGCTGTGAACTGCATAAGTAAACTATCTCAAATGTGTTTGAGAGATTGTTAAACAAGTGCAAATTGCAAATACTAAAACAAAAAGGAAGTGGAAAACCACTTCTTTTGCTTCCAAGTCCCTTTCTGAGTTGTCCTAAACTTAGTGACCATATCCTTGGGAATAGTATAGAACAACAGTTGAAATTCTGTCCAAGCAGAAACATCAGAGCCAGAAAGAAAACGTCAGAAATTAATGTCTGAAGCAGTTGAGGACAAGAAAGACCAAGAGTCTGAGGAGGAAGAAGAGGAGGAGGAAGAAGATGAGGATGAAAAGTATTCAAAAGCCACAACCAGATCAGCTACAAGATTAGAAGCTCAGAGGTAATAGTCTGTTGCAAAAGATGTCATAATCACAGAATCTGAGGTGAAAGGGATTCAAAGTCCAGATGAACTAATTTTTACCTGAACTGTAATCCTCTCTTGAAAGTATTCCTCTAGCCGTCACATGAAGTTCTCTAATAAGGAGAAATCCACTATTTTTCAAGACAGCTCATCCCACTTTTGAACAGCTAAAGATGTGCTTGACATTTACATTTTAAAGGACTTTCTTGGGTTCTACATTACTCATATCCTTTTAAAATTGGTCTTTTATTGGCTCTCTAGCACACTCCATACAGTGGCTGTTCTAAATCTCTGTTCTCTTTGTCCCCTAACTCCGTATTCTGCTCCCTCACTTCTTTATAAAGGAACCCCCCCCTCCCTGTGGACATAGTCTATCCTTACTTTTCTTATCCATGACATTATGTCATCAGATGTGTTTGAGAGTTTGTTAAACTTTTATTCTCTCCTTCTCTGCTGGCTCCTTCCTCTCAACCTACAAGCATGCCCCTGTTTTATTGCAGCCCTTTATCTCTTTACCTCTACTTCCTTTCTGTCTACTCACCCTTTAATACCTTAACATTGCATTCATGCCCACCACTATACTAAAACACCTATTGATTATTTCCTGTTTATTCTGTAGGTAGCTTGTTTGTACATAGTTATTTGCTTTTATCTTCCCTATTAGATTGTGAGTTTCTCAAGGGCAGGGACTGTCTCTTGCCTTCTGTTGTATTTCCAGCTCTTGGTAGAGTTCCTGGCACGTAGCAAGTGCTTAATAAATGTTTATTAATTAACTGACTCACTATGGTCATTAATGATGTCCTTATCACTAAATCCAATGATTTTTTTTCATCCTTGACCTCTGCATATCATTTGACACTAGTAAACAACTACTTGCCAACTCCTGCAACCCCTTTTCTATCATATCACTTCATCTCATAATGCTTCTGCTACCACTGTACTTACGTGCCCTCAGCACCACTTTGCCTAGACTGTTGAAATAATCTCATCATAAATTTTCCCATAGACTTTTTTTGGGGGGGGGGGGAGGCAATGGGGTTAAGTGACTTGCCCAGGGTCACACAGCTAGTAAGTGTTATGTGTCTGAGGCCGGATTTGAACTCAGGTCCTCCTGAATCCAGGGCTGGTGCTCTATCCACTGCACCACCTAGCTGCCCCATCCCGTAGACTTTTAGAGTGGAAAGGGATTTCACTGGTTTTCTAGTACATCTGTATCTGAACAACATACCATACATGTCAAAGACCTCAACTGAGGAGGAACCTACTTCCTGACTCCTCTTTTGGATAACTCTCATTGCTAGAAAGGTTTTTCTTATACAGAGCCAAAATAATTGCGCCAACATGTACTCATTGCTCCTAGTTCTGTCCTGTGGATCCAAATAAAACAAGTCTAATCCCTCTTCCTTTTGACACCCCCTTGAAATATACTTCCTTTGCCTACCCTATGTCTTGTCTTCTTCAGATTAAACATCTCCAGTTCCTTCAGCTGATGTTCAGGTGTTCTGATCTTAAGGCTCTTTAAGCCATCCTAGTTAACCTTCTTTTTTGTCCTCTCTAATGTCCTTAAAATATGACTCCCAGAACTAACATGGTATTGTACATGTGGCCTGACCAGGGCAAAGTAAAAGAGTAGGAATCTTGAAAATTAAGGACATATTTACCTTTTTTCCAGTTCTGTCCACCTCTCCCATTCTCTATGATATTTCAGAAATCATTGACCATATCTTAAAAATCACTGTTGACCAATGTGGGAATTTGTTTTGTTTGATTATATATATTTGTTACAAAGATTATGCTTTTCTTTCCTTCTCACCCAATGGGGAAAGGGTGTTGGGAAGAAAAGAAAATAAATGCTTTAAAAAAATAAAATTAAAAATATTTAATCACTGATGACTTGAACGCAAGGGGAACTCAGACACTGTCTTATTATCATATCTCCTTGGGTATTAGCTGCCTGTAAGCCATTTGTGTTCTGTCTTTTCCATTCTATAAAATTAAGATTGAGCATCTTTACCTTCTCTTGTCACTTATCATCCTATCCATCCCAAAGAGAAATCACATCCCTTCTTTGATTAATCAGTCTGTTAGCATTTATACACTTATTACATATCAGGAACTGTGTGGGATATTGGGAATTCAGAGACCAAAATTAAACAGCCCCTGCCCTGAAGCTTACTTTGATTTTCCTCTTTATCCCACTTTTGCTTTTTAAAATCGATTTTATTTTTTGTTTTTTGCTTTTTTCCCCACTTAATATTTTACTTTTTTCCAATTACATGCACTTTTATAAGCTTTTGAGTTCCAATTTTTTTTCTCCCTCCCCCTTTCTCAAGATGGCAGATAATCTGATAAAAGTTACACATGTACAATGATATTAAACGTATTTCCCCATTAGTCAAATTGTGAAAGAAGAATCAGAACAAAAGGGAAAAGTCACGATAAAGGAAAAAAAGTGAAAATAGTATGCTTCTATTTGCATTCAGACTCCATAGTTCTTTCTCTGGATGTGGATAGCATTTTCCATCATGAATCTTTTGGAATTGTCTTAAATCATTGTATTGCTGAGAAGAGCTAAGTCTAACAAAGTTGGTCACCACACAGTGTTGTTCTTATTGTATACAGTGTTCTCCTCACTACATTCATTATCATCTCATGCAACTGTTTTCAGATTTTTCTGAAGTCTGCCTGTTTACCATTTCTGATGAAACAGTAGTATTCCATTACAGTCATATACCACGGTTTGTTCAGCCATTCCTCAATTGATGGGCATCCCCTCAATTTCCAATTCTTTGCCACCACAAAAAGAACTGCTATAAATATTTTGTACATTTGTGTCCTTTTTCCATTTCTTGTGATCTCTTTTGCCTAGTAGTGGTATTTCTGGATCAAAGGGTATGCACAGTTTTATAGCCCTTGGACATAAATCCAAATTGTTCTCCAGAACAGTTGGATCAGTTCACAACTCCAACAATAATGCATTAGTGTTCCAATTTTCCCACATTTTCTCCAATGTTGATCGTTTTCTTTTTCTCTCATTTTAGCCAGTCTGATAGATGTGGGGTGGTACCTCAGAGTTGTTTTTAATTTGCATTTCTCTAATCAGTGATGATTTAGAACATTTTTTCATATGACTATAGATAGCTTTAATTTCTTCATCTGAAAACTGCGTGTTCATATCCTTTGACCATTTATCAATTAGGGAATGCCTTGTATTATCAATTTGACTCAGTTCTGTATATATTTGAGAAATGAGGCCTTTATCAGAAACACTAGCTGAAAAATTATTTCCCAGCTTCTGCTTTCCTTCTAATCTTGGTTGCATTGTCTTTGTGCAAAAACATTTTTAATTTAATGTAATCAAAATTATCCATTTTGCATTTCATAATGTTCTTTATCTCTTACTTGGTCATAAATTCTTCCATTTTCCATATATCTGGCAGGTAAACTATCCTTTGTTCTCCTAATTTGCTTATGGTATTACCCTTTATATCTAAATCGTGTATTCATTTTGACCATATCTTGGTATACGATGTGAGATGTTGGTCTATGCCTCATTTCTGTCATACTCTTTTTCAATTTTCCCAGCAGTTTTTGTCAAATAGTGATTTTTTATCCCAGAAACTAGAGTTTTGGGGTTAATCAAATAGTTTGATTACTGTAGTAATTTACTTCTGTGTCTTATATATCTAACCATTTCTACTGATCCACCACTGTATTTCTTAGCCAGTACCAAATAGTTTTTATAGTTGCCACTGTATAATATAGTTTTAGATCTGGTAAGGCTAGTCTACTTCCTTTGCATTTTTTTTTTCATTAATTCACTTGATATTCTTGACCTTTTGTTCTTCCAGATGAATTTTATTATTTTTTTCTAGCTCTATAAAATAATTTTTGGTAGTTTGATTGGTGTGGCACTGAATGAGTAAATTAGTTTTGGTAAAATTGTCATTTATTTAATATTAGCTCAGCCTACCCATGAGCAGTTGATATTTTTCCAATTGTTTAGCTCTGACTTTATTTGTGTGAAAGAGTTTTTGTAATTTTGTTCATATAGTTCCTAAGTTTGTCTCGGCAGGTAGACTCCCAAATATTTTATATTGTCTGCAGTTATTTTAAATGGAATTTCTCTTTCTGTCTCTCGCTACTGGGCTTTGTTTATTTTATATCCTTCTACTTTGCTAAAGTTCATTATTTCAAGTAGTTTTTTTGTTGATTCTCTGGTATTATCCAAATATACCATCATATCATCTGCAAAGAGTGATAGTTTTGTTTCCTCGTTGCCTATTCCAGTTCCTCAAATTTCTTTATCTTCCCTTATGGCTAAAGCTAACATTTCTAGTACAATATTGAATAATAGTGGTGATAATGGGCATCCTTGTTTCACCCCTGATCTTATAAGCTTCTAGCTTATCCCCATTACTTATAAGGCTTGTTGGTGATTTTAGATAGAGATTTACCATTTTAAGGAAAACTCCACTTATTCTTCCTGTGCTCTCTAGTGTTTTTCATAGGAATGGGTGCTGTATTTTGTTAAAAAGCTTTTTCTGCATCTATTGAGATAATCATGATTTCTGTCAGTTTTGTAATTTTTTGGTGAGGCAATTGGGATTAAGTGACTTGCACACAGCTAATAAGTGTCAAGTGTCTAGTCTGAGATTGTATTTGAACTCAGGTCCTCCTGACTCCAGGGCCAATGTTCTATCCGCTGAGCCAGCTAGCTGCCCCTGTTAATTTTGTTATTGATATGGTCCGTTATGCTGATGGTTTTCCTAATGTTGAACCAGCCCTGCATTCCTGTTATAAATCTCACTTGGTCATAGTATGTTATCCTCATGATAAATTGCTGTAATCTCTGCTAATGTTGTATTTAAAATTTTTGCATCAATATGCATTAGGGAAATTGGTCTATAGTTTTCTTTTGGTTCTTCCTGATTTAGGTATCAGCACCATATTTGTGTCATAAAAGGAATTTGGTAGGA